CCGCCCGACCCGGGCATTGGTACTGCTGCGCCAGGTACTTCTGCGGCTGCTGCTCTAGGTGCCTGTGCGTCTGCACTCTCAGGTACTGGTGAGGCTGCGCTCTCAGGTACTGCGTCGGCTTCGGCCTCCCTCACCTTCACGCTTGACTCAGGGGCTTCTCGCTCCTTCTTTCGAGACCGCACCACACTCACGCCGCTTGGCCGGCCGGTTGCAGTCTCCCTGGCTGACCCCTCTGGGGGTCCTGTCCTCTCTCACTTCTCCACTGTCCTCCCGTGTCCGGCTGCCCCCTCGGGCACCTTGTCTGGTCTGTACCTCCCCTCGTTCTCGACGAACTTGGTGAGTGGTGCTGACCTGCAGGATGCGGGGGTTCACTAGTTTACTCCTGCGAGTCAGCGGGTGACCCACTGCTCGGACGCCCGCACAGGCCGACACCTGGCCACGTTTTCGCGTCGGCCGGGGTCGAGTCTCTACACCCTGACCACTGAGTCTCCTCCTGTCCCTGCGTCTGGCCAGGTAGCTGCGTCGGGTCAGGTGTTTGCTGCTGCGTCCAGGTCTGGTCCTGAGTCTGCCCCCTGCTCGTGTCGCCGCCTGTCTCAGGAGACTCTCCTGTGGCACCACCGTCTTGGCCACCCCTCCTTGCCTCGTCTTCGGGGCATGGCTTCCCGTGTCCTTGTCTCTGGTCTTCCCCGGTCTCTCCCTCCCCTTCCTTCGGGACCCGGACCTTCCTGTGTCCCCTGTGTCGAGGGGCGGCTCCGGGCTGCCCCTCACTCCTCCCAGTTTCCCCCGACAGAGGCTCCTCTGCAGACGCTTCACATGGACGTGTGGGGCCCGGCCCGCGTCCGTGGGCAGGGTCACGAGCGCTACTTCCTGCTGGTGGTTGACGACTACTCGCGTTACACCACAGTCTTCCCCTTGCGCAGCAAGGGTGATGTCACTGAGGTGTTGATCGACTGGATCCGCGCAGCTCGTCTCCAGCTCAGGAGGAGCTTCGGCTCGGACTTTCCTGTTCTGCGTCTGCACTCTGACCGAGGTGGAGAGTTCTCCTCTGGCCTTCTGCGAGCCTACTGTCGTGCACGAGGCATCCGCCAGACCTTTACGCTTCCGGACTCTCCACAGCAAAATGGGATTGCTGAGCGCCGCATTGGCATGGTCATGGACGTCGCTCGTACGTCCATGATGCATGCGGCTGCCCCCCATTTTCTGTGGCCGTTTGCGGTTCGGTACGCGGCGCATCAGATCAACCTTCACCCCAGGGTCTCCCGACCGGAGACCTCCCCAGCTCTGCTGTGGACGGGGAAGGTCGGCGATGCGTCTGCGTTCCGTGTCTGGGGATCCCGGGCGTTTGTCCGCGACTTGTCTGCGGACAAGCTGTCCCCTCGTGCTGCTCCCTGTGTCTTCCTCGGCTTCCCCCCTGACGCCCCAGGGTGGCAGTTCTACCACCCCTCCTCTCGTCGTGTTCTGTCCTCCCAGGACGTCACGTTCGACGAGTCAGTCCCCTTCTACCGCCTCTTCCCCTACCGCACTCCTTCCCTCCCCCCGCCACCGCACTTCCTTGTGCCAGGTCCCCCCCCGGTAGACCCCCTTCCCCCTCAGGGTCCTGCCCCTTCAGGTGTGTCCCAGGTAGACGCAGTCGAGCCGGTCGAGGTTGCTGGTGACTCTGGTCCTGCTGCGGGTGCTGAGCCTGGGGGTGCTGACTCTGGGGGTGCTACGCGTGGGGGTGCTGAGCCTGGGGGTGCAGAGTCTGGGGGTGCTGCGCCTGGGGGTGCTGCGACTGGGGGTGCTGAGCCTGGGGGTGCGGAGTCTGGGGGTGCTGAGCCTGGGGGTGCTGCGACTGGGGGTGCTGAGCCAGGGGGTGCTGCGTCTGGAGCTGCTGAGCCTGGAGCTGCGGAGCCTGCGGCCACTGGACCTCCCCTTGTGGCGTCTGGCGGTGCGGGACCTGGCGGTTCTCCGGGTGCTTCGCCTCGGCGGGAGCCCCTCTCTCCACAGGAGCTGCGCGAGTGGTTTGCTCGCCGCTGGAGACGTACTGCTGGAGCCGGAGCTCCTTCGACTGCTGAGGGTACTTGTGCCGCTGGTCCCGGAGCTGCTGGGCCTTCGGGTCCGCCTGGAGCTGGAGCTGCTGCGGGTGTTGGTGCTGCTGGTGCTGCTGGAGGTCCTGCCCCTGGAGGTGCTGTTGGCGCTGGTGCCTCTGCTGAGGGTGCTGTCCCTGCTGTGTCTGGAGTCGCCGCGCGGCCTCGGCCGTACTTCGTTCCACTCCTACAGCAGGTTCTTGGTCTTTCTCCTCCTGCAGCATGTCCACCGCCTGTTCAGTCACAGTCCCAGTTAGAGCCCGCCTCCCCACTTCCTGCTCCCTCTCCTTACACTGGTCCCACTGGAGGTCTTGCTGAGCGTCGTGAGCCTGCGTCTCGTCCTGCGTCGCCTGTTCGTGCTGCTCGCGCTAGTGGTCGCGGTTCGCGTCAGCGTCCTCCTCCTGTCCCTGGCACGCACCGGATGTCTTTGCGTCCGTCCACTGCTCCTCTGCGTGCCCCTTTGCCTTCTCCTCCTGAGTCCTCTCTTCCTGCACTTACCGACCCAGAGTCCGACTCTCTTCGTGCTACCAGTCCTACTGTCACACGTCTCCTTGCTACTGTCGTCACTGACCCCTCTTTTGAGTCCACTGCTGCGTCTGCTCTTGTTGCTGAGCTCGTCGACTTTGCTGCTCGCTGTCGTCTAGACTACGCTGCCGGTCTTGTTGCTGAGTCTGCGTCTGTCTGTCCTCCGTCCGTCGGGGGTGAGTGTGCTCTTGGCACGGACGTCCTTGAGGACAGGCAGGAGGAGTTCCAGTGTCTGGCTGCTGCTTCACCTCATCTCGCGTCCGTACTACTTGCCCCTGAGGGAGACCCGGATGCACTAGACATCCCGACTCCGCGCTCTTACGCGGAGGCCGTAGAGGGTCCCTACTCCTCTCAGTGGCAGGCAGCTATGGATGCAGAGATGGCGTCCTGGAAGTCCACAGGCACCTACGTTGACGCGGTTCCCCCTCCTGGGGCGAACATCGTCAGTGGCATGTGGATCTTCAGGGTGAAGCGGCCGCCGGGCTCTCCACCTGTCTTTAAGGCGCGGTACGTCGCTCGTGGCTTCAGTCAGCGGCAGGGAGTTGACTACTTTCAGACCTTCTCTCCCACCCCGAAGATGACCACTCTTCGGGTGCTGCTGCACATAGCCGCTCAGCGCGACTACGAGCTCCACTCTCTTGACTTCAGCACTGCTTTCTTGCAGGGCAGCCTGCACGAGGAGATCTGGCTGCGCCGTCCACCTGGCTTCACTGGGACTTTCCCTCCTGGCACCCAGTGGAGCCTCCGACGGCCAGTCTACGGTCTCCGCCAGGCACCGCGTGAGTGGCACGACACACTGAGGACTACGCTTGCGGCTCTTGGGTTTGCTCCCTCTACTGCTGACCCGTCGTTGTTTCTGCGCACCGACACTTCTTTGCCGCCGTTCTACATCCTCGTGTACGTCGACGACTTGGTCTTTGCCACAGCTGACACTGCTGGACTAGCCTACGTGAAGTCCGAGCTGCAGAAGAGACACACGTGCACAGACCTGGGTGAACTGCGCAGCTACCTTGGCTTGCAGATCACTCGGGACAGAGCACGCCGCACCATTACCTTGACTCAGTCACACATGGTGCAGCAGGTCCTTCAGCGCTTCGGCTTCACGTACTCCTCGCCTCAGGCCACTCCTCTGCCTACTCGCCACTCGCTCTCAGCTCTGCCTTCGGATGAGTCCGTAGAGTCGAGTGGCCCGTACCCAGAGCTTGTTGGTTGCCTCATGTACCTGATGACCTGCACACGACCTGACCTTGCATACCCTCTTAGCATTCTTGCACGCTATGTTGCTCCTGGGAGACACCGACCAGAGCACATGGCTGCAGCGAAGAGGGTGTTGCGCTACTTGTGCAGTACGTCGGGCATGGGGCTAGTGCTTGGAGGGCGGAGTCCAGTGGTGCTCACTGGGCATGCGGACGCTTCTTGGGCTGACGACCAGGCTACGCAGCGGTCGTCGCGGGGTTACACCTTCAGTCTTGGTTCCGGCTCTGTCTCGTGGCGGGCTACTCGCTCGTCCTCTGTTCTCGGCTCCAGTTGTGAGGCTGAGATCTACGCCGGGGCCATGGCTGCACAGGAGCTTCGCTGGCTCACCTACCTGCTGACTGACCTTGGAGAGCCGCCTCGTTCTCCTCCAGTGCTGTACGTAGACAACAAGGCCATGCTGGCCTTGTGTCGAGAGCAGCGCTTGGAGCACAGAACGAAGCACATTGCTCTCCGTTACTTTCTTGCTCGTGAGCTGCAGCAGCGTGGTCAGTTGCGACTTGCGTACGTGGCCTCTGAGGCCAACACTGCTGATGTGTTCACCAAGGCACTTCCGCCTTGTGACCATCAGCGCTTCTGCACTCAGCTGGGTCTTGTACCTGTCTTGCCTCACTTGCTCTCCTCTTGACCTTGCTTGTACTGTCACATATATATACCTGCTCTTGCTTGTCTAGCTCTATATATATATGTGCACTCCTGCATGTGAACTGGCCTTGTGGCCTTGTCGTTGTGCTCGGACTGTGTGGTGACTTTGTGATCCACCCTGAGCTTGCTGTTCTTTGCGTGACTGGTCTTGTGACCCCTTGTTCTCCCCCACTTTGCCTATGGGGGTGTGTCAGAACATATATATAGCTTATGCTGTTGTGTAGGCTATAGTGGGGTATCCCATAGGGGGTACAACCCAATTAGGGTTTGCTATATGTACTCACTTCATTCATAGTTCATTCATTCTCGTTCTCATTTTCACAGGTCATATAATTCACGACCATGTATTTAGGCGATAAAGCTTCGCCCAACAACCAATATGAGCGCGCATATACTTCCATTAGTTCTATCATATGTCCGGTCCATATAAAACCATGCATATCAAATGCCATAAATATATTCTTTCCTATTAATTTAAGACGCTGCGTCAACGCAGCGTCGCTCGACGCCATGACGCCATTCCCGCTGTCCTCCGCACCTGCCGTTTTCGCTTACGATACCCTCGCGGCTGCGACTGCTCCGGCTTCCGCTTTCAACTCCTCCGCCGACCTGCCTCAGCCGCAGCGGCCGCAGCAGCCGCAGCTACAGCAGCCGGAATCGCGCCATCAACCGCACGTCGCCACGCTCATTGCGGCTTCCACTGCAACCAATCCCGTTTCCGCCGCCTCCCCCGCTTCGAACATCTCCGCCGACCCGCCGCATCAACCGAATCAGCCGCGGTCGCAGCACCCGCGTCAGTCGACGCAGCACCCGCATCAGCCGCAGCCGCAGCAGCCGCTGTCGCGCCTCCAGGCACACGCCATGCTCATCGCCGCCGCCACAGGCCGCGTCGCGCTGCCCAATCTTTCCGGCGCTCGTCCCGCCCCAACCCCTAGCGAGAATGTTAGCAACGATAATTGCGTCGAAAACGGCTGCCTGACGAATAGCAACGGCAAGACTGATATACGCGATACTGTCAGCATCGGTACTCGCAGGAGCGTGGCCTCAGCGTCGCACGGCAACTCCGACGCTCCGCCGGAGCCCGCGACGGCAGTGACGACAGCCGCGTGCGACGCGCCGGCTTATAACAAAATTGCTTTTAACGAAGCCGCGACGTCAGTTCGTGCGTGCCGTCCGCCGGCACAGCAACCGGTGGGGTCGGCAGCGTCCGGCAGCAGAGGCGCGAGCGGCACGAACGAACGGAGCGGCAACGGGGGTGGCGACACGAACGGGGGAAGCGGGGTGAATGGCAGCTGCGGCGGTGGCTGCGGACTCGGCGGCGGATACAGCGGCGGCTCGGGCGGCGCCTTTGACGGCGGCTTTGGCGGCGATGGGTACAGCAGCGCGAAGGCAACGCAGGCAGTCCCTATCAGCACAAAGTCTCCGCTTTCCTCGACGGATCTTAGAACCGAAACGACCAATAGCGGCGCCGCCCACCCTTGCCTGAGACCCTTCAACGTAGTAGCAGTAACGGCCAATCCCTTAGTCCGCGGAAACTCGTTACTAGTCCAAGGAAACTCGTTAATACGCGGTGGTGAGGTCATAGCCCGAAATGGCTCCGCAAATCTGGGAGATGCGATAACCCGTCTCCTTTCCGACACCGTGGCGTCGCCTCCTGTGCCACCGCCTGTGCCGCCAGCTGCGCCGCCGCTGATGCAGCAGCCCTTGAAACGATCTTCTCCGCCCATCCCAACGTTCTCCGCTCCGCCCTCCCGAACCAGCGGCGACCCTGCCGAGACTCTTCCCAAACCTCCTTCCGAACCTTCTTACGAGCCTCGTTCCTGGCCTTCCTTTCCCGAACCTCTCCGCCCGTCGCATGCGAACCCTCTGCCCGCGTCCCCCCAGCCCTCGTGCGCGCAGAGCGCCGCCCCATCCGCTTCCCCTTTACCCGCGGCTCTGGCCGCGCTTCTGGGCATGACACGTGGCACGGATCCGCTACAGTTCATGGGAATCGAACGGCGGCGGAATGATCTGCTACTAGCCGCGGCATCGGCGCGCAGCACCTGCGGCGTCCCGTCGGTGAACTGCCCGTCGCAAAGCAATCTCGTCTCGCAGATCTCCTCCCATCCGTCCGATTCCCTCTCATCTCATCCGTTCAATTCGCTCCCTGCTGCGCCATCCGCGTCCTTTCCGTGTCTGCCGCGGTCCGCTTCCGCTCCCGCCGGGTCTTGGGAAGGCGGAACAGCAACGGGAACAGCAACAGCAACAGCGGCAGCGGCAGCGGCAATGGGGAAAAGGGAAGGGGAAGCAGCGGGAAGCGAGGGGGAGCGGGGCGCGGGAGCGGGGTGGGTGGCGCGGACGCCGCGCGAGGAGGACATCAACGAGTGGCTAGCGAAGGTGCTCGGGCCGGGGGGGTTGCAGGCGCGCGGGGGGGGAATGCAGCGGCGGGAGCAAGAGGAAATGGCGAAGGTGCTCGGCCCGGGGGGCTTGCAGGCGCAGGGAACTGCAGGGGGGGCCGGCATGCAGCCGCGGGAGCCAGCGGTTGCGGGGAATGCGCGCGGGCAGGAGGCGCAGCAGAACGCCACGGCGGCTGGGAGCGCCGGAGGGTGGGGCCAGGGGGGAGGGCGCGCAAGAGATGGGGTCCGGGCGGAACAAAGTGGGGAAGGACGGAGAGGCGGAAGCGGGTGGGGGGGAGGGTTGCTGGCTGGGAGCATTCAGCTTTTGGCTGCGAGTCAGGGGTTACGTGCGAGTCCGGGGGTGAATGCAAATTCGGGGGTAGATTCGGGGTTAAATGCGGGTCAAGGGGCAGGTTTGGATGAGGGTGTTAGTCTGGCTGGTGCTGTGCTTTCCAGGCACGCAGCAGCGGGCGCAGGGGGGGTGTCAGGTGGCACAGGAGAATTCACGTTTGGATCGTTGGGTGCAGCAGGGTTAGGTGCGGTTGGGAACGATGTGATGATGGGAGGACGGGATGCGATGGCAGCAGCAGTAGCAGCAGCAGCAGCAGCGGTGCAGGGGGTGTATAGACAGGCTCTGCTGGACCGATACATGCAGGAGCAGCAGGCAAGCAGATTGCACACTGCCATGCCCACTGTTTCAGCCGCTGCTGCTGCTGCCGCTGGTGGTGCTGGTGCTGGTGCTGCTGCTGCTGCTGCTGCTGCTGCTGCTGGTGGCGTTTTTCCTGCCTGCGCTTCTGGCAGTGGCAGTGCAAGTGCAAGCTCCAGCGCTGCTGCTCGTGTGTGTGCTGGCAACAGTTCTGGGAACAGTGTTGCCAATGCTGCTGGCAACGGTGCTGTCAATGCTGCTGCCAGCAGTGCTGCCAGTGCACACGTTTTACGGCAGTTAAAGCGGCAGTTATCAGCAGCAGGAGCAGCAGCAGCCGTTGCCCTTCATGCTTCTGCTGCGCTGCCCCTACCTGAACGTGCTACTGCTGATGCGTCTGGGTGTGAGAGTGCACCTCTGTGGGATGGTGTGTCCGGGTGTGCCGGTGTGTCGCTGGGTCAGTGGGACTCGTGGGAGCAGCTGCAGCAGCCTGCAACTGTAGAGGAGCTCGTGCTGCAGCAGTGCAATAAAAGGTGAGCCTCCTGCCCCTCCTCTCCTCTCATCTCCTCTCCTGTCCTCCCATCTCTCCCCTCCTCTCCTCCCCACTCCTCTCCCCTCTTCTAATCGGTGCTCCTTCAATTTTTCTATCGACATTCCTCTCCTCTGCTGCTGCCTTTCAACCCTGTAATCAAGCTTTGTTCGTATATGTGTTTGGCTGTCAATCGCACACTAATGTGCAAAATCAATGTGAGTGTACGCTCCAGTAAACTGTTCTCCTATTGCACTCTCTTGTGGACTGTTTTGTCTCTGCCAGAAAACTAGCTGCTCTCCAGGATACAGTATTCAACAAGCAAACCAGACAGCGCCTGCTATAGGTAACAGTATCTCCTGTCCATGAGGTGCGCACATAGAAAGCCACACACTCACAAGGAGCACATGGATATTAGTTCGTACAGGAAGTATGAACATTCCCTGAATAGTCTGAAAAGCTGGCCAGTAATCTAGCCCAACTGACATTAACAGGGGTATAGGGGCTGTCATTCACAATTGTATTTTAGCCCTTGTGCAGTCTTCTACTTGTTTCTATTGCACTCGTAGCAGTTCCGACAGTTATGTGAACTCCCCCCGTTTGCCACATTGTCGCTTATCGCGCTACCTTGTTCCCAAACTCTGATTATTTATCGCGTTCCGTTGCACTGCCCACTGAAAGCTTTTAAGGGTACATACCCAGATCTCCTCAAATTTCTCAGCGTTATAGATGGTCACCCACTTCTCACGGATGATACTCCAAAAGCAGCAGCTATCGCTTATCCTGAAAGTTGAAAGCCATACGAGTCGGAAGTTTTTTTCAGGGTACACATGTCCGAATCACCAATGATGGGAACTTCAGGGTTCCTGAAAACAAAACATTCGGAACGCGTTCAATGTCATCGAGACTCCAGGCATTTCAAGTCGGCTTTCGACTTACGTGCAGCTCGGTTGTCACGTGTGTTTCAGTGGTTCTGTGCAAGGTAGCGGCATTTTGTACGGTAATCGCATATGTGTATGGCACAGCCTTGCATTCACATTGCAATAATTCACTTCGCCTCTGCTCCTGAATTGTTGGCCTTCCACTCTCACAGTTTTGTGCTTATGCTAGCTCGATGAGCAAATCAGACAGTGCAGCCGAGAAGCATTTTCATCCGTCAACTAGTACTAGCAGAACATATCTCAAACCGACCACCAGATATCCTGGAATGTCTTACCCTTCAGCAACCGATGTCGCGGCTCCGCCGGGGCCGCCAATTCACAGTAGTAGCGCCCAAGTTACAGTCGACAATGTAGACGACGACTACGAATATCCCAACGACGACAGCAACGACGACGACAACGACGACACATTCTCGATATCGTCATCTGAGGACCTCACGACAGAGGTCGAAGAGCTCAAACGCGACGCCTCCAGCAAGAAATTCTCACCTTCCGCCGACGAAGCTTCCGCCGCCCCCGCTTCTGTGCTGACCTTCCGCAACATCTGCTACTCCGTCTCCGTCAAGCAGCGCAAGGGGGAGCCTTCCACCGCTGGCCCGCACTTCACGCGGCAGGACAGCACGCTCGCGAATTTCGCCAGATTGCCGCCTCAACCGGGTATTCAAGAACCGCCGGTCTCTGCGGCGGCCGCGGTGCAAGCGGATGGCGGTGCAACTGGCGGCGGCGGGATCGCCAATGGATTCCGACGGAAGCGCGTTCGGCGGCAGATTCTGACGGGCGTGAACGGCGAGGCGCGGTCGGGGGAGGTGACGGCGATCATGGGCGCAAGCGGAGGCGGAAAGACGACGCTGCTGAACATCCTGGCGCAGCGGATCTCGTCGGGGCGGCGGAGGGGAACGGTGAAGCTGGACGCCGCGGAGGTGTGCGCGGGGACAATGCGGCGCGTGTCCGCGTACGTGATGCAGGACGACGTGCTGTTTCCGTCGCTCACGGTGCGCGAGACCCTCATGTCCGCCGCAGAGCTGCGCCTGGAGCCGCGATTCTCGCGACGCGAGAAGGAGGAGAAGGTCGCGCGATTGATCGACATGCTGGGGCTTGCGAAAGTGGAGAACTCGCCAATCGGTGGAGAGACCAAGAGGTGAGCAGTCTGTTCACTGAGAGGCCCCATACTATCCGCGTTTGGGAATGGACGAAGATAAATTCAAGTGAAACTTCAAGACACGAATTTAAACCCAGAAATGCTTGTTATTTGATACTTAACGTTTTTCGCAGGGGCGTTTCTGGCGGTGAGCGAAAGCGAGTGGCGATAGGGGTGGAGATGGTGAGCGACCCGAAGATTCTTTTTCTCGACGAGCCAACCTCGGGGCTCGATTCGACCAGCGCATACCGCGTCGTACGCGCTATGAAGTCCGTCGCGATTCAGACTACGAGCATCTGCATGATGGTCATTCACCAGGTGAGCTGAGAGCCCATACATCTAAGCATTTGGATTTCTTGCGGTGGAACCGATTGAGTTTCGACAACATAAGATTCAAATTAACCCAATCCCATTATTATTCTCCTTCATTTATATCTTCAGCCATCATATCGCGTACTGTGCGTTATCGACAAGCTTCTTCTCCTAGGCGTGGGACAGACGGCTTATTTGGGCCCACCTGCCGGCCTGCCGCATTTCCTTGCCTCTCTGGGTAGCCCGGTCCCGGAAGGCTCGAACAGCACAGAGCATGGCTTGGATGTCATGGCCGTGTTGCAAGCCCAGGGCGTTACCGACATCCAGGCCTACGCCCAAGCCTGCCAGGAAGGCGTGGCCGACCCTGTGGCGGCGGCTCGGAAACCGTTGGAGGCTCCACATGATACGGTTGATCCAAAGTCTTCCAAGGAAATGTCTGCTTGTGGACGGGTGGGGAATGAGGAAGAGACAAAGGGCAGGGAGTTTGCAAACGGATGGTTTCGAGAGCTGTGGGTGCTGACGAGGAGGGCCACTACGAACATCATGCGCACTCCTGCACTGTACCTGCTGAGGCTGGCGCTCATCCTTATCGCGGGTCTGCTTCTAGCGATTCTGTTCTGGAGGCCAGCGGAAACGTGAGTAGAAACCCCAAGGTGGGTGGGCAGATCTGGTGCTAGGCTGTGGGCTGTTGAACACAAGAGTGGAGATTATCGGGAGAGGTACAAGAAGCATGCCTTGTTTCAGATTATCTTTGTTATTTATTCCAATCCCCGTTGCGCATTGGTGGGTTTGCAGGGCCGAGGGACTCATCATCCGTCTGTCCTTCCTGTCATGCGCTTGCTGCATTGTCTTCTTCACCTCCTGCGACGCGGTTCCCATATTTATAGAGGTATGATTACTCAATCGGATTTACCGAGGCGTGAGGGTGTATCTTTCATTCGGTCTCTTGTCGTTTGCACTGTAGGATTCTACCACATTGTAAATGCTCTTCTGAAACGTCATGTCCTGGTTTCAGAATTTTTGTTCTCTGAGAAATTTCGTTTACATTACACTTGGTGCTGCTGTCATGAAGGAATGTTTTTGTTGTCATTTGCCCATTGAAGTGTATTCTAATACAACTCTTCACGTGCACCCTCCTTGCTCCCTCCAACCTCCTTGCACTCTGCTGCACCTCTCAGGAATCTGCAATTTTCGTGAGGGAATCAGCCAATAACGCGTACAGGCCATCAACCTACCTAGTGTCGTCAACCCTAGTGTACCTACCACTTCATTTCCTCATGGCCTTGCTTCTCACTGCCGTCTCCTGGTGGAGCATCAGCCTTGCGGGTGGCGCCGAGGGGTTTCTGTTCATGGTGGTGGCGTTTTTTGTCATGTTCTTCGCAGCCAATGCCATCGCGACATGTGTCAGCATTTGCGTCAAGGAGTGAGTACTTGGGCTTCATATGGGAGAGTGATTTGTGAAACTTTCTCTTCCTCGTTCACTTTGTTGAGCTCCCATATTGTCATGGGTCTTGCATCTGCTAGAAACTCGTACAACACGAACATAACAAGAGCTAAAAAAAGGGGGGGTGGATGTAGAATGTGTTTCAAGTGTTCGACCTTCCGCATGCCCCCTGCAGCATACAGCTATGGGGGGCATGCATTCTTACTCGCCTTCTTGCTGTATGCGTTTTCGTCTTCTCCCCTAATAATCGGAGTTTTCCCATCTAGCATGAGACTTTTTTTTCACCAATTATATCCTCCTGCTCTGCGTTGTTTGTATTTCCCCTCATCACCAACCCCCGTACCTTTCAGTGTCGTCCTCGCATATGCAACCGCCATCGCAATAATGTCCTACTTCTACCTTGTTAGTGGCTACTACGTTACAAGGAAGCAAATGACCATGACGCTTATATGGCTACATTACATCTCACCTTTCAAATACGCTTATGAAGCTCTCGCTATCAACCAATTCGACAGGTGAAGTGCAGCCTATTCGCTTCTTCCTCCCACTTTCTTACCTTCATCCAATCTCTTTATGTTTCCAACGTTTATCCTTAACCTTCCCTGCTAGCGTTCCACTCACCTTACTGTCTCTCGCATCTCATCCCTTCTCTCGCATCTCATCCCTTCTCTCGCATCCCATGTCTTCTCTCTCATCTCATCCCTTCTCTCGCATCTCATCCCTTCTCTCGCATCTCATGTCTTCTCTCGCATCTCATGTCTTCTCTCTCATCCCATGTCTTCTCTCTCATCCCATGTTTTCTCTCTCATCCCATGTTTTCTCTCTCATCCCATGTTTTCTCTCTCATCCCATGTTTTCTCTCTCATCCCCATGTTTTCTCTCTCATCCCATGTTTTCTCTCGCATCCCATGTTTTCTCTCTTATCCCATGTCTTCTCTCTTACCCCGTGTCTTCTCTCTCATCCCATCTCTTCCCTCCCAGGCCGAGCCCCTGCTATCTGAATGCCACTGACTCCTTCCAGAACCTTCCCGGAAACACCCCCACCGTACCCACGTCACTCTCTAACTCACTGGGCATCCCTCCAAGCCCACCCGGAGGCTCTCCAATCTCAACCCCAGAGCAGCTGCAGACCCAGCTCCTCTCCACCACACACTTTACAAACCCGCTTCGTGAGTCAGCACTTAGCGGTTTATCCCCCGAGGCAAGGGCAACGGTGGAGAGCGGTGGGGCGGGTGCGGGAGGGTGCTTGCTGACAGGCCCGCAGCTGCTGGCGAATCGGGCGTTGGATCAGCTGGGCAAGTGGGAGTGCCTGTCTGTGCTGCTTGTGATCGGGCTTGCTGTGAAGCTCATCACCTTGCTGCTGCTCGTGAGGCTTCGACGGGCCAAGCAGAAATAGAGAATATGGATATGGGGTTTCGAGGATGGTAGGAGGCACAGTGGAGAACGTCTGTGCCGTTTCTGAAGCTTAAAAAATGCAGGTGAGGTGAAAGATGAGGTGGGGTAAAAGTGCATAATCCTTTGTTGTACTAATATGTTGTTTTGTAACAATGGGTTGCCAGCGTTTGGGGTTTTTTTGGTGCTCAAGTGCTCTGTCTTAGGGTGTTCCAGCGAGAAGTAGTTTGATGTAAGGGCTCCTGGTAGCTACTTTTCTATGGTTTAGTGTGCTTTTGTGTGTCCAGTATGTTTAATAAGGTATATCGATTTGGCAGTTACAATGGCTTGGCTGGTGTAATTCCTGAAAACTCTCGTATCGCATTTCGCCGTCTTCAATCCCCATTCTCACCAGTTCGATTGGTCTTTCCCTACCTTTTATGGGCTACTTTCCTGCCCGAACCCCATTTGACCCAAATCAGGTGGGTTTTACATTTCCTGCCCGCGGTCTGTTGACTCCCCATCATTTGTCATCGTCGCCCCAGACAGTCGGTCCCCAAACCAACCCAACCCAATCCAACCCAGCCCAGCCCATTGGGACGGGACGGGACGGGACCAACGGTGGTGGGCAAATCCCCTGAGAGACATGAATTGGGAAATATATTGCACTGCCTGCGTCAGACGACGCTACCAAGTGAGTCAGCATGCTGACCGCGGGCAGAAAAAAAACTAAAACCCATTCGGACTCCATGCCATTCGGGAGCCTCAACCCTAAAATTTTAGGGTTGATGCCTCCCGAATGGCATGCCTTCCGAGTGGGTTTTATTTTTTTACTTGCCCGCTGACTCATTGCACAGCCTGCTGACGCAGACAGTGCAATTTATTTCCAGATTTCGAAACACACCGTGGATGGCGGCGATCAACAGCTCCCCCAGTTCAGTGTGCTGTTGTACACAATCATACTACAGCTCGGTTGCACAAAGTGTTTCAGTGGTGCTGCGCAAAATAGCGGTTCTTAGTGCGGTAGTAACAGACCAAACAATATTCGAAGCATCTTCCTTCGTCCCTCCCCTCATTTGCAGTGCTGCACCCTATCCCTCATGTTTGTCCCTCTCCTCATGCTCTGTGCATCAGATGGTTTGCCGAAAACCACTTCCAGTTATCAATCACGTACCGCAGAATTTCCCGTAGCGGCCATCACCTAGCCCAGAATGTCTGGCCCTGCAACGACCAATGCCGCAGCCCCGCAGCGGCCGCCGATTCGCAATGACGACTACGTCACTGTTGACGACATAGACAACAACTACGATTTTACAAGCGACAGCGACGGTAGCGACGACGACGCATTTTCCACGTCGTCATCCGAAGACCTGCCGATCGAGGTCGAAGAGCTCAAACGCGATACCGCCAGCAAAAAGATATCACCTTCTGCCGACTCAGCCTCCGCCGCCCCGGCTTCCGTGCTGACCTTCCGCAACATCTGTTACTCCGTTTCCGTCAAGCAGCGCAAGGGAGATCCGGCCGGTGCCGGCCCGCAGTTCGCGCGGCAGGACAGCACCCTCGCGAATCTCCCTGGACTGCCGCCTCAGCAGGGCTTTCCGGCTTCGATCTCTGTCACGGCGCAAACGGATGAGGGCGCAGCTGGAACCAGCGCCGCGGCGCGTGACGGCGGCGGGATTGCCGACGGGATGCGCCAGAAGCGCGTTCGGCGGCAGATCCTAACAGGCGTGAACGCCGAGGCGCGATCGGGAGAGGTGACGGCGATCATGGGCGCAAGCGGAGGCGGAAAAACGACGCTGCTGAACATCTTGGCGCAGCGGATCTCGTGTAAGGGGGAGGCAGCGGAAGGGGACGGTGGAGCTGGACGGCGCGGAAGTGCGCGCGGGGACGATGCGGCGCGTTTCCGCGTACGTGATGCAGGACGACGTGCTGTTTCCGTCGCTCACGGTGCGCGAGACGCTCATGTACGCCGCAGAGTTGCGCCTGGACTCCAAAACTTCGCGGCGCGAAAAAGAGCAGAAGGTCGCGAGGCTGATCGACTTGCTCGGGCTGGCGAAAGTGGAGAACTCGCCGATCGGCGGCGAGAGGAAGAGGTGAGATTGCGAGAGCAAGTGAAACTCCAAGTCACGAATGTTACACTCTAAAATGTTATCATTATGTTACCACATGCGTTTCTCGCAGAGGCGTTTCTGGCGGTGAGCGAAAGCGAGTGGCGATAGGGGTGGACATGGTGAGCGACCCGAAGATTTTGTTTCTCGACGAGCCAACCTCGGGGCTCGATTCGACCAGCGCTTACCGCGTTGTACGCGCTATGAAGTCCGTCGCAATTCAGACTACGAGCATCTGCATGATGGTGATCCACCAAGTAAGCTCAAAACGACTTCCATTCTAGGCCATTCATCTTCCAAACTAAGACCCAACAATATGTGTAACTTCACGAACTTCATGTTATCCCTGTTTTCCTTTTTTATTTTCCCATGCGTTGATCGCATCAGCCATCCTATCGCGTGATTTGCCTCATCGACAAACTCCTCCTCCTAGGCGTGGGACAAACAGCCTATCTAGGCCCACCTGCTGGCCTGCCACATTTCCTCGCTTCTCTGGGAAGCCCGGTCCCGGAAGGCTCGAACAGCACAGAGCATGGCTTGGATGTCATGGCCGTGTTGCAAGCCCAGGGCTCGGAAACCGTTGCTGGAGGCGCCACGTGTTGGCATAATCAAATCAATGTCTCAGAAGGGAAAAGCGGCCTGGGGACGAGTTGGCTCAGAAAAGGACAAGGAGGGGAGTGAGGAAGAGGCGAAGGAGCGGCAATTTGCGAATGGATGGTTCCGGGAGCTGTGGGTGCTGACGAGGAGGGCTACTACGAACATCATTCGCACTCCTGCTCTGTACCTGCTGAGGCTGGCGCTCATTGTTGTAACGGGTCTGCTTCTATCAATTCTGTACTGGAGGCCAGCGGAAACGTGAGTTGAAATGCCGAAGCGCTTGGTCAGGTCTGGTTCTTCTTGGTTCAGTAATGGATGGTCCGGTCTGGTGTTGTGTCAGGCAATGGCTGGTTAGGTCTGGTTTTGGGTTGGGTATTGGATGGTTGGTACGGTCTGGTTCTAGGCTGTGCTCTGTTGGGCAGAATAGTGGAGAATAGTGGAAAAGGAACAAGAAGCAGGAAATAAATATTTCAGTACTTTCTTCTGTTCCCATTGCCTTGTTGCTTATTTCAGGCCCGAGGGGCTTGTGATTCGGTTGTCCTTCCTGTCATGTGCCAGCGGCATTGTGTTCTACTCCTCGTGCGACGCCGTCCCCATATTCATCGAGGTACGCTTTTGAGGCGACTCAAAATTCACCCCGAGGGGCTTGTGATTCTGCTGTCCTTCCTGTCATGTGCTGGTGGCATTGTGTTCTACTCCTCGTGTGACGCTGTCCCGATATTCATTGAGGTACGCTCAGGTGGACCATTCACCAGGGTACCGATACTGTCGGGGGTGATGGTGTGGCTCTCATTCTGTCTTGACACTTGCGCTGTCTGCTACACTTTGAAAATGCTGTGTCTGTAATTTTAAAACGGTTTTTTTTTTTTTTTTGAAACTTCTGCGTTCATTGGGTTGCTCAATTCATCCATTTTTCAAGTGATTTTTATTCTGTGCTGATTGAAATATTATATTTTACATTCCTTCGCATGCATCCTCATTTAAGGGTCGCTCAATACATTCCTTCTCCGACCTCTCCCCCTGACCTCTCCGGCCTCCTTTCATCCCGCTATGCTGCTACACCACTCAGGAATGCGCAATATTCGTGAGGGAGTCAGCCAATAACGCGTACAGGCCATCAACCTACCTCATGTCATCAACCCTAGTCTACCTGCCGCTTCACTTCCTCATGGCCTTGCTTCTCACCGCTGTCTCTTGGTGGAGCATCAGCCTCGCGGGCGGCGCCGAGGGTTTTCTGTTCATGGTGGTGGCGTTCTTTGTCATGTTCTTTGCAGCCAATGCCATCGTGACATGTGTCAGCACATGCGTAAAGGAGTGAGTGGCTTGGGGTGCATATTGTGGTAGGTTGCATATTCTTCTGTCAACGAGCAGTTTCTTCTAAATATGTGGTTCCTTATCTGTGATGACATTTGTGCAATTGTGTTTGTCACTCTGTTGAGATGCAATTGTTGAGCACCCTTATTGCCATGGTCGCTTGTGTCTGTATGGGCTTGCGTGTTTGTTTGTTCCTTCTCATTTTCCCTCTTTCATGGCCTGTGAAATTACTTTCAAGCTGCTGGTTCCCCCTTCTCCAGCTAATGAGCCCCGTTTCCCCATCCAGCATGGTACATAATTACAAATCACCAACATAGCTTCCCACTCAGTGTTGTTCGTATATCCCCACATCACCACCCCTTCTCCCTCGCAGCGTCGTCCTGGCATATGCACTCGCCATCTCGGTCATGTCTTACTTCTACCTCGTTTGTGGCTTCTACGTTACAAGGAGGCAAATGCCTGCCGTGCTCATATGGCTGCACTACCTGTCGCCCTTCAAATACGCTTACGAAGCGCTCGCCATCAACCAATTCGCCAGGTGAGCTGCAGGCCTGCGCGCTTCTTCCTCCTGCTTTCCTCCCCAGCATCTCCCCCAGCCCCCCCAACTCTCCTCTAAGCATCTCCCCCAGTCCCCCCCACTCTCCTCTAAGCATCTCCCCCACCTTCCACTCTCGCTCTCCAAGATTCCTCCCCATTGCTCTCTCTGTATGTTACCTTTGTGAGCTTAGTTGCACAGGTTGCAACCACACACGCTAGCACGCTGCAGCCTGCTTTCATTTTCATGCACATCCATTTCCAAAGTTAATATTTCATACACATCCATTTCCGAAGTCACATTTTCATACACAACCATTTCCGAAGTCACGTTTTCATACACATCCATTTCCAATATGTACATGTTCATACACATCCTTTTCCAATGTTACACCTGCCCCCCCAGCACGTTACTCACCTTACACTCTCATCCCTTCTTCTTCCAGGCCAAGCCCCTGCTACCTGAGTGTTGCTGATTCCATGCCAAAACTTCCCAACAACATGCTCAGCACGCTCAGCATACCCAGTTCTCTAAACAACTCACTTGCTGTGCCCCCAAGCTCATCCAACAGCAATTCCTCACTCTCCCCAACGCCAGAGCAGCTGCAGAGCCAGCTGCTCTCCGTACTCTTTATAAACCCGATTCCCGACTCTGCTCTTAGCGGGTTGTCTCCCGAGATGAGAGCGCAGGTGGAGGCGGCTTCGGGAGGGTGCTTGCTGTCAGGCCCGCAGCTGCTAGTTTCTCGGTCGGTGGATCAGCTGGGCAAGTTGGAGTGCCTCGCTGTGTTGCTGGCGATCGGGCTTGCTGTGAAGCTCATCACCTTGTTGCTGCTCGTGAGGCTTCGGCGGGCCAAGCATAAATAGAGAATGTGGATATGGGGTTTTGACGATGGCCGGAGCACAGCGCAGAACGTCTGGGCCGTTTCTGAAGGTTTAGAAACGCAGCTGAGTTGGAAAAGTGAGGCGGGGTGAAAGTGCACACGGTAATCGTTTGCTGTACTATGTTGTGTTTTGTACTAGATTTTTTGCTTAATTTTGGTGCTAAAGGCCTCTCTATCTCAGGGAGTTTGAGCAACGTGAAGCATGATGAAAGGGGCTCCTGAGCTTCTTTTCTGCCCCTAGTTGTGTTTCCTCATCAAAGAAGTGGAGTCTAAGAAAATTAGACGGACAGACAGATTTTGTCTGATAGCGGAGACGCTTTCCATGATCCTATCCTATGCCTACGCCATTTCCCAGACTCGGCGCCGCTGGCCGAATAGGACACCTAAATTTTTACGCAGTATCGTTACCATCATTCGCGTTTTGATGTGTGCCCATGCCTTCGCTCACATTGTAAGGTATTGCTTAGATATTGGAATCCTTGTTTAGTGTAGTTCTCTGCTTGCACTCCTACCAGATATACTAATACCTTCAATGTGGACCGGTTGCTGCAATTTCCCCCTAGCAAGGAACTGAAATTATTAGGTACCCTTCCTGCTGGAGTCCGAGCCGCGAAGTTGTTGGTCATGCATCTCCAATCCCACCCCACCCTACGTCCACACACTGTCGAAGCAATTTTCGGACTCAGGTGGTGGTTCTGTACGTTCCAGACGTTTCCAGAGCGGTTCAATGTCGCACTCCCAGCCCGCGAAGCGCCTTCAGCACGCGAAGCAGGGAGCCCCCCAAACCAACCAACATCCCTCAGCTCACAATTATTCCTCGTTTCTTTCTCGAGTTTCATGTGCGCCACTGCTACATCTGCTTCACAGAAAGCGGGGATCACGGTTCGCCGACTCGGCGAAGATAAGTCGGCTGACCAGGAAAGTCCGATTCGAGCTGCCTACGACAGAGGGAATGTGGGCTGGGATGGTTCGGCTTCGCGTGCTTTTGAAAGAGGTAGCTTCTGAAAAACCCATAATTGTCGCAATTATTGTTGCCTCTCCAGAATTCTACCCAAGGCGTCGGGGCTCCTGCTCAAATAGAACCACAAGTTTCAACTCCATCTATAGTCCCGTTGCGCCCTCTATTTTGTCCATATCAGACTGCGCCTCCTAGAAGCAATTGAAACGATCAAACCGAGAAGAAAGTCTTCAACTACTAGTGGGTCCGCTAGTCCCATCCCCTCGTCGTATCCTTCCCCGTGTTGCGACCACGTTACGCGGCTAAAGCCTGATAAACGAGGCGCTAATAGTAGGTCCAGACAGAATGTCTGTCCCTGCAGAAACTAGGACCGCTGCGACCCCCCAGCGACCGGCGATTCACAATCGTGACCACGTTACCGTTGAAGACATTGACGATGTCTACGACTCTTCCGACGGCGACACCAACTCTTCCGACGACGACGACAGCGACGCGTTTTCCACGGCGTCATACGAGGATCTGACGATCGATATCGAATCGCTCAAACGCGACGCCTCAAGCAAGGTGTTTTCCCCTTCCGCCGACGCGGTCTCCGCTGCCCCCGCTTCTGTGCTGATATTCCGCAACATCTGCTACTCCGTCTTTGTCAAGCAGCGCAAGGGGGAGCCTTCCGCTGCCGGCCCGCAATTCGCGCGGCAGGACAGCACGCTTGCGAATGTCCCTGGACTGCAGCCTCAGCAGGGGTTTCAGGAGGCTTCCGCGGCGCCAGCTGGTGCGCCCGGAGCGGATGGAGTTGCAACCGGCGGCGAAACCAGCGCCGCGCCAGGCGGCGACATGTTCGGCGGTTTGCGCAAGAAGCGCGTTCGGCGGCAGATCCTAACGGGAGTGAACGGCGAAGCGCGTTCGGGGGAGGTGACCGCGATCATGGGCGCAAGCGGAGGCGGAAAGACGACGCTGCTGAACATCCTGGCGCAGCGGATCTCGTCGGGGCGGCGGAAGGGGACGGTGGAGCTAGACGGGGAGGAGGTGAGCGCAGCGAGGATGCGGCGCGTCTCCGCGTACGTGATGCAGGACGACGTGCTGTTTTCGTCGCTCACGGTGCGCGAAACCCTCATGTACGCTGCGGAGTTGCGCCTGGAGCCGCGATTTCCGCGACGCGAAAAAGAGGATAAGGTCGCGCGGCTGATCGACCTGCTTGGGCTGGCGAAAGTGGCGGAGACGCTGATTGGCGGCGAAAAGAAAAGGTGAGCGCCCAACGCGAGAGACGATGAAAGCCGCTTCTTCCACTAACATAGAAGCTGTGTGTTGTGTTGCATCATTGCGGGTGGCCTGTGTGATTTCAAAACTACAGGCCAGACGTATTTACATGTACATGTACAGGTACATCAAGCTGTTACTGCTCCCAACCTGTTACCCTTTCTTGCTTTCGCAGGGGGGTTTCTGGCGGTGAGCGAAAGCGAGTGGCGATAGGGGTGGAGATGGTGAGCGACCCGAAGATTCTGTTTCTCGACGAGCCAACCTCGGGATTGGATTCAACCAATGCCTTCCGCGTTGTACGCGCTATCAAGTCCGTCGCGATCCAGACTGCGAGCATTTCCGTAATGGTGATTCATCAGGTCAGTCTACATATTGTGCTACTATCCCAGCACAACATTAACAATAGTGTGTTACATTTCCTAACGCCTCCACACCACCCCTCCCTCCCACCTCTCTTTCCCCATCCCCCTATTTTTTTTTGTTTAAACAGCCATCATATCGTGTCCTTTGTCTCATCGACAAGCTGCTTCTCTTGGGCGTAGGCCAGGCGGCCTATTTGGGCCCCCCAGCCGGCCTCCCAAAATTCCTCTCATCTCTGGGAAGCCCGGTCCCAGAAGGCTCTAACAGCACAGAGCATGGCTTGGATGTCATGGCCGTGTTACAAGCCCAGGGTGTGATAGACATCCAAGCCTATGCCCAAGCCTGCGAAGCCGGTGTGGCCGACCCTGTGATGGCGGCTCGGAAGGCCCTGGAGGTGCCCAGCGATGCCGGTAGCCCAGCGAATCTCAAGGGGAATTTACCCTGGGTTCGGCTGGGCAAAGTGAAGCTGGAGGCGGTGGGGAAGGAGAAAGAGCTCAAAGGCTCACAATATGCAAACGGGTGGTTTGGGGAGCTGATGGTTCTGACTAGGAGAGCTTCTGTTAACATCATGCGCACTCCTGCGCTGTACCTGCTGAGGCTGGCGCTCATCCTTATAACGGGTGTGCTTCTGGCGATTCTGTTTTGGAAGCCAGAAGAAACGTAAGTGTGGCATGGCATCGCTGGTCAGGTCTGGTGCTTTGGTAATGGGTTGTCTGCTCTGGTGGTAGGTTGGGTGGTTGCTGGCCAGCTCAGCAGCGAGGTTCGGAAATGGTGGTCAGGTCCGGTGCCAGGCTTGGAGGTAACAGGTGAGGTTCACTGAAAGTGCCTGGTGAGGTTCAACGAAGGTTGAGAGAATGGCGGGATTGAGTGGATGGTGGTCAACCAAGGGATTAGAATAGTTCACGACTAGTTTGTGAGGCACTTCAAAACTCGTCTCACTCGGTCTCATTCTTTACTGTGCTTCTCGTGTCGGCGTTCCCTTCGCATTCTGGCTGGTGGTGGTGCAATTGTCCACTCTAGATTTGTATGCTTAAATTTGTTTACTCCATGCCTCGCACATTCGTTTTCTCCGTGCCTAGCTCATTTGATCACTGCAGGAAGAAAGGAGTGATGATCCGGCTGTCCTTTGAGTTGACTCTAAGGTGACTTTTGACTTTAGAGATGACTCAGACGTCACTTTCTTTTCTCCGTGCCTTCCTCATTTGTTCACTGCAGGAAGGAAGGGGCGACGATCCGGCTTTCCTTCCTGTCCTGTGCCTCCTGCATCGTGTTCTACACCTCGTGCGATGCTGTGCCGATATTTATCGAGGTGTGTTTGAGTGGTCAGGAATGAGATCTGCTTTCAATGATTTGTTCTACATTTATTGAAGTCGCATTCATTGCAATGTGTTTCATTCATTTTAAAAGCATACATTCAATGATTCAATTTTGAGAAACGTCCACCTCATCCCCCACTCCCCTTTCAATTGTCTACTCTCCTACACCACCAGGAATGTGCAATATTCACAAGGGAATCTGCCAATAACGCGTATAGGGCATCAACCTACCTAGTGTCGTCAACCCTGGTGTACCTGCCACTTCACGTCCTCATGGCCTTGCTTCTCACGGCCGTCTCCTGGGGAAGCATCAGCCTTGCTGGCGGCGGAGAGGGTTTCCTGTTCATGGTGGTGGCATGTTTCGTCATGTTCTTCACAGCCAATGCCATCGCGACATGTGTCAGCATATGCGTCAAGGAGTGAGTCGCATTGGGATGCACATGGATGCAGTTTCTTGCTCTCGCTCATCACATGTTTCTAACAGGCCAACACTTGAATGCACCTCATTGGCCTAGGGATTTTCACATGTGGCAAGATTTGGGTGGTCAACACATTTTCACATGTGGCAAGATTTGGGTGGTCATCATGCATCCATCTCCCACGTGCAACCCCTTTCTCATGTGCAAGCCCTCACTCCTTCCCTCCTTTCCTACTTCCCCTCTACCCCTCTCCCCACCTTACCTCCTTCCCTCCATCCCCCCAACTTTCCTCCCCTCCTGTGCAATGTGGTACTGGCATATGCAACTGCAATCCCTCTCATGTCCTACTTCCATTTTCCTTGTACTTACTTCTCACCAATCAGATCCTCCTGCTCTGTGTTCTTCGTATTTCCCCATCACCACCTCCCCCCCACCTTGCAGTGTGGTTCTGGCATATGCAACTGCCATCTCTATCATGTCCTACTTCTACCTCGTTAGTGGCTTCTTCGTTACAAGGAAGCAAATGCCCAATACGCTCATATGGCTACACTACATTTCGCCCTTCAAATACTCTTATGAAGCTCTCGCTATGAACCAATTCGACAGGTGAGGACCGAGGTTGTTTACCCTGGATTTTATTGTTCTTCCCAGCCATAGATAGTCAATGTTCGGCTTTTGAATCCCATCCCATCGCATCCCATCCCATCCCATCCCATCCCATCCCATCCCATCCCATACCATCCCATCCCATTCCATCCCATCCCACCCCACCCCACCCCACTTCACCCCACCCAATCTCCTCCAGGCCCGAGCCCTGCTACATGACTATCAGCAGCACCTCGGGAATCCCAGGGGGGGCATCGGGCGGCCCGTCTCCCGCCAATCCCACAGCATTGGGTGGGGCGGGTCAGCCCGGCGCACCTGTGGGTGCAACAATATGCTTGTTGACCGGGGCACAGGTGCTAGCCGAGAGGTCGATCGATCAGCTGAGCAAGTGGGAGTGCCTCCTGGTGCTGCTGTGTATGGGGCTTGCTGTGAAGCTGATAACCTTTGTGCTGCTGGTGAGGCTGCAGCGGGCCAAGCACAAGTGAGCGGTGTTGGGTGGAAGGAAGAGTGTTGTGAGAATAAGGTGTGTGTTCTGAGACGGCTCGAGGACACGGATTGGCCCATGCTAGTACTGCTGGTGATGCTTCAATGGGCCAAGCACAAGGGATGGATGCCAGGTGGAAGGAGACAGCAATGGTAGCAACTTGCTAGGTTCGTTGTACTTAGTACCAAAAGTGTTGATGCTGCATCGCCAATCCGGCGTTATCGTAGCATGAACTGCGCTCGTCACGCGTACACTGCATCAGATTAATTGTAATGGCTTGCTATGCAGCATGCTTGGCATGATATCTAGATATGTGACTTGTCGAAACTGGAAAGGGCAACCATCTCAGACCCGCGAATAAATTCAGGTATTTTCCGGTCGTTGTATTCAACTTGTTAGTGATGATATAATATTCTGCTCCCCCATAAAATTTGTTGTATACTGTCAGTTTCATAGTCAAAGTTGAATGTCTGGGCTTTTACTATATAGTGTACCCTACATATCCACACAATCATAGGGTAGGTTATTTGAAGCGAAGTGCTTCTTTGTAAAGGTATTGTGTCAGCCACGTCATGTTTTAAGTATGACAGAGCAAGGGATAGATGGCCATCCAGGTGGCGCCTGCCCTTTCGCCGTCACAAAAAAATGCCATTTCGCTGAGGCAGCAACTTCAGCATCTGTCGCCATCGTAGTGGCTGGAGCTGAACCCTTTTCCCGCTTTCCAGGAGAAAAACAGACCAACTGTGTGAACACGCCCTTCAAACGAAGTCCCAGACTGCGTTCGCTAAGGATGAGTACGAGGTTGGTTTGTTCTATGCACCAAGTGTCGGGATTTCAGCTAAGCCTCAACCAGTCAGAATGTCTAGGTGACTTTAAAATACAACCTTTGAACAGAGAAGATTCGCAAGCCTCCCACAAGTTCGCATGATCAGCCAAAACCATATTTTGTGCATGGAATGCACACAAATGAGTTACCACTTTCTTGACAAGTGGAGCTCGCTGAGCTTTCCAGCTCTTCATCCCTCGATCTAACCAACAATGAACACGGGTTGGCTTTCCAGCGAGAGCTCCGAATACAAGAGCCGGTAACCTTTCTCGTCAAAAGCAAAATACCAGTGGCGACGGTCGTCGAAACTGCAGCCTAAGGTGTGGGCGGTTTAGAGGAGCCTCGATTCCTCCGCAACCGCTCTCCTCCCCAGATGCTTTTCAGTGACCTTCACTCCCGTCCTCCTTGCCGAGACTTGGAGCTTTCATTCCTCCTGTCGTCGATTGCTTCTAGAGTTTCAGTGGAGGTTCGGCTAGTGGATCCGGGAAGCCATTCAGGGTGGTAGTGTGGACGACGAGTAGCTTTCCTTTTGCGACGAGATCTGCACTGCTCGAATTCCTCGCACTATCGCCAGCCTCTCGTCCAATCATGGCGACCGCCTGGAGCCTATCGTCGTCATCGTCGACGCTTCGCAGCGCGACGTTTTCCGGCCTTCGCTGCTCCACCCGCGCGGCGAAAGCCCCTTCTGCCGCACGGTTCCCAGCCTCCGCGTCTCGCGCCGTGGTTTGCGCTGCACGGAAGCGGCGATCGCCGTCCAATTCGCGTGCCGCGGCCGAGGGGTCGTCGGCGCTCGAGGTGTCAGATCAGGCGGAGCAGCAAGCGGAGCATGTTGAGCAGGAGGAGCAGGAGCAGGCAGAGATCGTTTCTGATATCGTCGGAAACAACGGAGCGAATGTCTTCGCTTCAGGTGTGCGCTCCCGCGAGCTAGTTGCACACAATTGAAACAGCAATTCGTGCTTATGAGCAACCTAGCGGCACGGAGTCACAGCAGGAATTTAGCCTCGATGCATTGAAGCAGGAAGCTAAGCTCATTCCCCGCAATTCCCGGATAGTGATTCGGCGGCTTCAAATCTAGTGGCGGCAACCTGCGATGCCCGACTACAGTAGTGCAAGTTGCTGGAGAGTGTGAGTTGAGTTTCACTATTTAATTGTCTGCTCTGCACCTCCCGTGGCGTATCCGATCATCATCGTGCGGCTCGTAGCCGCTGGTATTTTCCAGGATGACGTGGCATCCAGTTATCGTCTGTTCCGCACCTCGCTTTCGAGCCTTCCCGGACGCAATTCGTGCTTATCTGCGAGAATGTAACGCAATTCGTGCTTATCAGCGAGAGTGTAACGCAATTCGTGCTCACCTGCAAGAACGTGTTAGGCAACTTGTTCTTATTTTCGCACGCATGTATCCTCTGTAGGTGTGATGGTTCAGCGTGACACGTACACGCGCCTGCTGTTCGTTAGAGATTCCTCGAGTTTCTTCGAATCGTTTTTTGATAGTGTTCCTTACGACTGCCATGGCTTGACATAGTGCATGAATCGAAGTTATCTGTGTTGGATGGAGGATGCAGTTTCAATAAGTAACCTGCTTCTGTTGTATCATGCCAGTTTGACTCACGGATGTGTTGCGGTTTGTTGTGCCGTGCTGCTTTCTGTTGTGTGGTGCGATGCGGTGCGGTGCGATGTGGTGTGGTGTGGTCTGTTGTGTGGTGTGCTGTGCGGTGTTGTGCGGTGCTGTGGCGTGGCAGAGGACATGGACATTCATCTGCACCTGCTGCAAAGCGACCTGGAGGTAAGAGGCGTTGGCGTTAAGGGCGCACAAGCAGTGGTATGCTCGCGTCTAGAATTGAGGCCTTGAGAGGCGCTTGAAAATTTTGCAGTGGGAATTCCTTCAGATCAGATCATGGAGGATGCGGGTGTTCAATCTAATCCAAACCCCTACAGGGACTCCTCGTTCTGCCATTGCATGCTCTCTCTCTCTACAGGACGAGCGCCCCTCACCCAAGCGTTCAAATTGTACTGTGGATATCCGGTGAAATTACTGACATGATAATTGGCCTGTTTGATTGTTGCCTCTGTTGTTTACCTTTCCCAACTACCACAACCACTCTTGCTCGTGATGAATAATCGGGTTCCAATATTACAAGGCACTTAAACCCTCAACCTTCATTTTCAACCGTCAACCCTTTGTGCAGGTGGACGCGGTGGTGGCGGCGGACATGAAGGAGAACGGCCCTCGCAGCACCAATGAGTGGCAGAGGTGCTTGCGACACTCAACTCTCTCCTTCAAGTTTCAACCCTCAACCCTCCACCATGCACCATCAATACCTGCAGGTGGACGCAGTGGTAGCGGCGGACATGAAGGAGAACGGCCCTCGCAGCACCAACGAGTGGCAGCTTCTATGCTTGCAACAATAGCAAGGAATGTGTCTCTCCCTCTCGCACGTCAACCCTGTCTCTTGACACCCTTGCTGCAGGTCGATGCAGTGGTGGCGGCATACATGAAGGAGAACTGCTCTCGCAGCACCAATGGGCAGCAGTGCTGCTTGCAACAAAGCAGAGAGTTGTGTCTCTCCCTCCTGCACCTCAACCCTGACCCTTAAACCCTCAACCCTCTACGCCTCCAGGTGGACGCAGTGGTGGCGGCGGACATGAAGGAGAACGGCTCTCGCAGCACGAGGCGCACGAAGCTGATCTGCACGGTGGGGCCCTCCTCCTGCTCCTTCAAGCAGCTGGAGGCGCTGGCGTCGGGAGGCATGAACGTGGCCCGACTCAACATGTGCCACGGCACCCACGAGTGGCACCGGTGGGTGGGTGGGTGGATTGATAAGTAGAGCCGCTGGCACAAGGAGCACTGATGAGGCACGAAGCTCATCTGCACCGTTGGGCCCGCCTCCTGCTCCTTTCCCCCGCCCCTCATGCTGCCCCTCCCCCCATTCGTCCCTCGTGCTCTCCTCCCTCGCTCTCGCTCCCTCATGCTCTCCCCCGTTCCTCCAACCTCCCCCCACGTATTAACAGGGGCGTGGTGGACAAGGTGCGCCGGCTGGATGTGGGAAAGGGCTGTCGTCCCCCCACGTGTAGCGAGGTTGTTTTTGAGACGTCTCAAAAACAACCTCGCTAGATGTGGGAAAGGGCTGTCCTCCCCCCACTTTCTATTGTGCTCTCGTCCCTCCGTCCCTGCCCTTTATTCTCCCTCCTCCTCCCCCTACCCCCCCTTCGCAACGCCCTCGCTGGGTCGTGGCGGACGGGCAAGGTGCGACGGCTGAACGCGGAGAAGGGGTGTTGTGCTCCCCTCTATCACTCTCCCTTGGGGGCTCTTCTTCTCCGTATCCCCCGTTCTTCCTCCCCCCCTCCCTATGACAGGGACGTGGTGGACAAGGTGCGGCGGCTGAACGCGGAGAAGGGGTATTCCATCGCCATCATGATGGATACGGAGGGTAGTGAGATCCACCTGGGTGATTTACCCGACGACTCGTCCGTGAAGGCTGAGGTGAGTGAGCTAGCTGTGACTTGAACCGTGCGAGTGGTTTGTGACAGATTGTGGATGGTGATTGTTACATGTGACAGTAACAGAAGGATGTTGGAATGGTGTGAGGGTTACATTACATTCCACCCGTCAATGCTCGCAAATTCAACTGATTTGTGCCTTCATCATCTTCCCAATCATTTTTGAGTCGACTAAAAAATCGCCAATTATGGTGCACGAGTTTATTCAACCTCTTTTTCGCCTCTGTGCACTGGTGGGCTCATGGGTGGTCGCATGGTGGGCGCGTGAGTGAGGGCTGCACATGAGCAAGAACCGAACCCGAACCGGTTCGACTCGAACCGCGTAGAAACAGTCTAAATTTGTCAACTCGAACCGAACCGCTTTTGTTCGACAAATAGACCGGTTTTACTCGGTGCGGGTTGAACCGGTTCAGGTTCGGTTTTTGCTCATGTCCAACCCTCATGCGCCCACCCATGTACCCACTTCCACAAGACGGCAATTTGTGGACGTTCACGGATTTTGAGTTCCTGCTCCTGTTCTTAAGCAAGACCCTCCCATTCCGTCATCCCTTCCCCCACGCGCCCCCCGCTCCCTCCCCCAACCCACAGGACGGCGACTTGTGGACGTTCACAGTGCGCCAGTTCCCGGGACCCCTGCCGCCCCAGACAGTGCAGGTCAACTATGATGGCTTTGTGGACGGTGAGAGGAAGAAGAGGGACAGGTGGTGGAGTGGGGTAGGAGTGTGGGTTTGGAGTGGGTGGAGGAGTGTGGGTTTGGAGTGGGTGGAGGAGTGTGGGTTTGGAGTGGGTGGAGGAGTAGGACCTGGTTGGTGAGCCCCTGCCGCCGCAGACCATGCAGGTCAATTACGATGACTTCGTGGACGGTGAGAGAGGGGTGGGGGGTGGGGGAGGGTGGTGGATGGGGGAGGGGAGGGAGGGAGAGCGAAGCTGAGTAATGCCTGGTTGGTGAATGGGTGGTGGTTGGTACCCCCCTGCTGCCCCAGACAGTGCAGGTCAACTATGATGGCTTTGTTGATGGTGAGAGGAAGATGGGGATGGGGATGCTGAGGGGGGAATCGGTGGATTTGGAGGGAAATATTAAGTGGGAAGTCCAGTAGGATGTTGGTTGGTAAACCCTTGCCACCCCAGACCGTGCAGGTCAAATTTGATGGCTTTGTGGACGCTAGGATGGGGTGGAGGGGGGAAAGAGGATGGAGAACGATGGGTCAATAGGGCAGTAGGAAAATAGGGTCTTGGGCGATGTAAGTCAAATCAAGTCAAGTGCGACGCAGACATCACGGTGGGGGATGAGGTGGTGGCAGACGGAGGCATGGTGCGCTTCCAGGTGCTCAGGAAGAACAGCCCCGATGTCACACGGTGACATTCAGGGTCATCAATGCGGGGTTCATCCTGCCTCTTTCCGCCCCTTCCACGCTCTCTCTCGCCCACCCATGAACACCACGCTTACATATATCACGGTGGGGGATGAGGTGGTGGCAGACGGGGGCATGGTGCGCTTTCAGGTGCTGCGGAAGATCAGATCGGGCCTGACGTCACAGTGAGGGTCATCCATGCAGGGCTCATCCTGCCCCTCTCCTTCCCTTGCCCCTCCCTCTCCTTCCCTTCCCTCTCTCCCCCTGCCCCACATTGCTGCAGACATCACGGTGGGAGATGAAGTGGTGGCAGACGGGGGCATGGTGCAATTCCAGGTGCTGAGGAGATCGGCCCGACGTGACCGTGAGGGTCATTGATGCAGGGCTCATCCTGCCCCTCTCCTCTCCTCTCTTCTCCTGTCCCCCTTCCCCTCCTCCTCCCTGTGCATCAATCAAACAGACATCACGGTGGGGGATGAGGTGGTGGCAGACGGAGGCATGGTGCGCTTCCAGGTGCTCAGGAAGATTGGCCCTGATGTCACCGTGAGGGTCATTGACGCGGGGCTCATCCTGCCGCGTGCCAATGTCACTTTCTTTCGTGACGGCAAGCTCGTTCGTGGGCGCAACTCCATGCTGCCTACTATTTCTTCTAAGGTCCGTCCGTGCCTACGCTCCTTGCATCTGGACTGCTCTCTTGGTGCTGTGATGGACGCTGAAATGCCTGAAAAGTGATCCTGCCGCGTGCCAACGTCACATTCTTCCGTGACGGCAAGCTCGTTGGTGGACGCAACTCCATGCTGCCGACAATCTCCTCCAAGGTGGGTCTTGCCCTGTGTGTGTGGGTAAAAGCACCTTGCCATGTCACAGTGAGGGTCATTGACGCGGGGCTCATCCTGCAGCGTGCAAGCTCGTTGGTGGACGCAATTCCATGCTGCCTACAATCTCCTCCAAGGTGCGTCCTGCTCTCTGTGTGTACGTAGAAGCACCTGTCACCTTGCCTGAACAGCCATCCTGCCCCCACTAAGCTCTGAGCTGCCAACGTCACTTTCTTCCGCGACGGCAAGCTTGTTCGTGAACGGAACTCCATGCTGCCCACCATCTCTTCCAAGGTGCGGCTTGCTCTGTGTGTGTGTGTGTGTGTGTGTGTGTGTGTGTGTGTGTGTGTGTGTGTGTGTGTGTGTGTGTGCGTGTGCGTGTAAAAGGTGACAGGTAAAAGCACCAGGATTGGATCGACATTGACTTTGGCATATCAATAGGGGTGGATTTGGCATATCTATAACCTTTCCCCCTTTGCCTCCTCCCACCTTCCCCCCACCAGGATTGGATTGACATTGACTTTGGCATCTCCATGGGGGTGGATTTCATCGCCATCTCGTTCGTCAAACTGGCTTCATGAGCTGTATCTTATCCACTTCCCTTCCCACTCTTTTCATCCGCTCGCCCACCTCCCGCTCCCTCCTCCCCACCAGGATTGGATTGACATTGACTTTGGCATCGCCATGGGGGTGGATTTCATCGCCATCTCGTTCGTCAAGTCTCCTGACGTCATCACGCACCTCCGCAGCTACATCAACGCTCGCTCGCCCAACCGGTGGGTACTGTATGGCACTGTGCTATGCACATACTGTGCTATGCACATACTGTGCTATGCGGTGCTGTGTGGCGCTTTATTTCCAATATAACAGAAAATCGAAGAACGAAACATGAGAAGCTGTGCCAAATTAACACGTGCTTGTTTTGACTCCATGTTTCCCCTGTTTCCTCTCTTACCTCCTCCCTCCTCCTCTCTTGTCTGTTTCTCCTCCTCTTTGAGAGCTCCTCTTTCTCCTCCCACCCTCCCTGCGCCCTTCCCCCTCCTCCCTCCTTCCTCCTCCTCTCCTCTCCTCGACATCTCCTCCCCCACACCCGCACACGCAGGTACATCGGGCTGATCTCCAAGATCGAGAGCTGCGAGTCCATTGCTCGTTTGGAGGAGATCATAGCCGTCTCTGATGGCGCCATGGTGGCAAGAGGCGACCTGGGGGCGCAGATTCCCCTCGAAGAGGTATGTGGGTGTAGTGCATGGGTGCAGTGAGGTGTGAGGGTGTGGAGGCATTTGCAAAGGCGAACGATGCAGTAGCAGAGAAGCTGTGCGATGCAGGCAGCGAGAGGGTAGCTGAGTTAGCAGAGGAGAGGAAACGAAAGTTTGGAGTGCGAGCGGCGGCAGCAGAGCCAGCAGTCAGGACTGCAAATATGACGGCGGTTTCAGATTGTGCCGCTGGGGCGTCAGCAACACGTGTAGGGGCAACGACAGCCGATCCCATGCATATGGGTACCAATGCTGCTGCTGGTGGTGCAGGCTGTGCCAGTTGTGATAACCACGGTACCTGAGGGGCTGGACTGAGGGGCAGCAGGAGACCGCAACATGCAAGGAGCAGGGGTCCCTTGCAGGGTGTAATATCCAAGAGCATGCAAGATTTGAGACGCAGGAGGCAGAAAGTAAATAGTTGGCCGATTGTCAGGGGGGAGTGCACTGCAGTCAGGAGGTGCACTGCATGCGGGCGGTGCACCACAACAAGCAGGAGGCGCCGTGCAAGCAGGAGGCGCCGTGCAAGCAGGAGTGCACTCCCCCCTTACTTCCAGCCGGTGTCTGTGCCGTGACCTTGTCTCACGTGTGTTTCCCCCACTCTCCCCCTCCCCTAAACCCCCTTACCCCCTCCATCCCCCCTTCAGGTGCCGTCAGTCCAGCAGGACATTGTGCAGATCTGCCGCGACCTCAACAAGCCGGTAATCGTGGCATCTCAGCTGCTGGAGTCGATGATTGAGTTTCCCACGCCCACGCGCGCTGAGGTGAGGGGGTGATGGAGGGAGGGATGAAGCTATTGTTGTTGGTCCTCAGTAGTGAAGGCAACTCATTGATGCAGCGAGGGTTTTGAGACGTCTCAAAACACTTCTTCAATCACGTAGCTATTGTTGTTGGTCCTCAGTAGTGTAGCTATTGTCATTGATGCAGCGAAGGTTTTGAGACGTCTCTTCAATCACGTAGCTATTGTTGTTGGTCCTCACCTCAGTAGTGAGGGCAACTCATTGTTGCAGCGAGGGTCATCGTGGCATCGCAGCTGCTCGAGTCGATGATCGAGTTCGCCACTCCCACCCGCGCTGAGGTGAGGGGGGGATGGAGGGATGACGGGGTGTAGTGATGGTTGTTGGCTCTGTGTGGTGCGGGAGGGGAGGGATGGTCATCGTGGCATCGCAGGTGCTGGAGTCGATGGTCGAGTTCCCACTCGTGCTGAGGTGGGTGAAGCATAGGAGAGGGGGTGAGGGGGACCGAGATGTCAGGTGATGTTTGTTTTGCTCTCAGTAGTGAGGGAGGGGAGGCGAGGGTTAGGGTCATCGTGGCATCACAGCTGCTGGAGTCGATGGTCGAGTTCCCCGCGGCCACTCGCACTGAGGCGAGGGGTGGATTGGAGATATGAAGTGATGAAGGGGTGTATCGATAGTTGTTTACCCTCTCAGTAATGGGTGAGGGGAGGCAGGGTCATCGTGGCGTCTCAGCTGCTGGAGTCCAGGATCAATTTCCCCATGCCCACTCACGCTGAGGTGAGGGGGAATAGGTGGATGAAGGGGGACAGAGGGGTGACAGGGGACAGAGGGGTGTAGCGATGGTTTTTTGCTTTCAGTAGTGAGGGAGTGGGGGGGGGAGGGTCATCGTGACGTTGCAGCTGCTGGAGTCCCCACATGCATGACAATGTCCCCACATGCATGACAATGTCTTCACATGCATGACAATGTCTTCACATGCATGACAATGTCTTCACATGCATGACAATGTCTTCACATGCATGACAATGTCTTCACATGCATGACAATGTCTTCACATGCATGACAATGTCTTCACATGCATGACAATGTCTTCACATGCATGACAATGTCCCCACATGCATGACAATGTCTTCACATGCATGACAATGTCTTCACATGCATGACAATGTCTTCACATGCATGACAATGTCTTCACATGCATGACAATGTCTTCACATGCATGACAATGTCTTCACATGCATGACAATGTCTTCACATGCATGACAATGTCTTCACATGCATGACAATGTCTTCACATGCATGACAATGTCCCCACATGCATGACAATGTCTTCACATGCATGACAATGTCCCCACATGCATGACAATGTCTTCACATGCATGACAATGTCTTCACATGCATGACAATGTCTTCACATGCATGACAATGTCTTCACATGCATGACAATGTCCCCACATGCATGACAATGTCTTCACATGCATGACAATGTCCCCACATGCATGACAATGTCTTCACATGCATGACAATGTCCCCACATGCATGACAATGTCTTCACATGCATGACAATGTCCCCACATGCATGACAATGTCTTCACATGCATGACAATGTCCCCACATGCATGACAATGTCTTCACATGCATGACAATGTCCCCACATGCATGACAATGTCCCCACATGCATGACAATGTCCCCACATGCATGACAATGTCTTCACATGCATGACAATGTCCCCACATGCATGACAATGTCCCCACATGCATGACAATGTCCCCACATGCATGACAATGTCCCCACATGCATGACAATGTCTTCTTCACATGCATGACAATGTCTTCTTCACATGCATGACAATGTCCCCACATGCATGACAATGTCTTCACATGCATGACAATGTCCCCACATGCATGACAATGTCTTCACATGCATGACAATGTCCCCACATGCATGACAATGTCTTCACATGCATGACAATGTCCCCACATGCATGACAATGTCCCCACATGCATGACAATGTCCCCACATGCATGACAATGTCTTCACATGCATGACAATGTCCCCACATGCATGACAATGTCCCCACATGCATGACAATGTCCCCACATGCATGACAATGTCTTCTTCACATGCATGACAATGTCTTCTTCACATGCATGACAATGTCCCCACATGCATGACAATGTCTTCACATGCATGACAATGTCCCCACATGCATGACAATGTCTTCACATGCATGACAATGTCCCCACATGCATGACAATGTCTTCACATGCATGACAATGTCCCCACATGCATGACAATGTCCCCACATGCATGACAATGTCCCCACATGCATGACAATGTCTTCACATGCATGACAATGTCCCCACATGCATGACAATGTCCCCACATGCATGACAATGTCCCCACATGCATGACAATGTCTTCACATGCATGACAATGTCCCCACATGCATGACAATGTCCCCACATGCATGACAATGTCCCCACATGCATGACAATGTCTTCACATGCATGACAATGTCCCCACATGCATGACAATGTCCCCACATGCATGACAATGTCCCCACATGCATGACAATGTCTTCACATGCATGACAATGTCCCCACATGCATGACAATGTCCCCACATGCATGACAATGTCTTCACATGCATGACAATGTCCCCACATGCATGACAATGTCCCCACATGCATGACAATGTCCCCACATGCATGACAATGTCCCCACATGCATGACAATGTCTTCACATGCATGACAATGTCCCCACATGCATGACAATGTCCCCACATGCATGACAATGTCCCCACATGCATGACAATGTCTTCACATGCATGACAATGTCCCCACATGCATGACAATGTCCCCACATGCATGACAATGTCCCCACATGCATGACAATGTCCCCACATGCATGACAATGTCTTCACATGCATGACAATGTCCCCACATGCATGAAAATGTCCCCACATGCATGACAATGTCCCCACATGCATGACAATGTCTTCACATGCATGACAATGTCCCCACATGCATGACAATGTCCCCACATGCATGACAATGTCCCCACATGCATGACAATGTCCCCACATGCATGACAATGTCTTCACATGCATGACAATGTCCCCACATGCATGACAATGTCCCCACATGCATGACAATGTCCCCACATGCATGACAATGTCTTCACATGCATGACAATGTCCCCACATGCATGACAATGTCCCCACATGCATGACAATGTCCCCACATGCATGACAATGTCTTCACATGCATGACAATGTCTCCATCCATGGAGGGATGGGGAGGTGATGTAGATGTGCGATGACGGGGTGACACGGCATACAGCGGGGAGCAGGAGCTGTGTGCTGGGCACCAGTTAACTTGCTGATCCCTCCATGTCCTTTGATTGCACCCTCTATTTTTTGGCAGGTGGCGGACACAGCAGAGGCAGTGAGGCAGGCAGAGGGCAGACGCGCTCATGCTGTAAGGCGAGTCGGCCATCGAGCAGTTCCCCGAGAAGGCGCTGGCAGTGCTGCGCACCGTGGCGACCAGGATAGAGGATGGAGGGGATCAGCTTAACTATCCCTTTCCGCCCTCTCACCCCCCTTGACTATCCAGGTGGCGGATACAGCAGAGGCGGTGAGGCAACGTACCGATGCTCTGATGCTGTCAGGCGAGCCGGCCACCAGGATAATGGGGTACGGGCGGGCACTTTTTGCCATGCCACAACGTGCATTCACCCTCCCCTTTCTCTGCTCTCCTTTCAGGTGGCCGATACAGCAGAGGCAGTGAGGCAACGTGCCGATGCGCTGATGCTGTCAGGCGAGTCAGCCATCGGGCAGTTCCCAGAGAAGGCACTGGCAGTGCTGCGCACCGTGGCCACCAGGATAGAGGGGTACGGGCGGGCAGCGCACAGTGGCGAGCAGGAGGCGGACATTGCTCTGCTGCCGGAGCTCTCTGACGTGCTTTCTGAGCGTATCTCAGAGCAGATCTGCGCCGCTGCTGCCCACATGGGTGAGTGGCTACCTTTACTCCACCTACCACACATGAGGCAGCAGGAGAGAGCAGGGGAGGGCTGCACACAGTGGGGGGCAGGAGGCGGATATTGCTCTGCTGCCAGAGCTCTCAGACGTGCTCTTTGAACGAATCTCCGAGCAGATCTGTGCCTCTGCTGCCCACATGGGTGAGTGGCTGTGCCCGTGCAAGAGGCCATGCGTACTGTGTAGCAGGGCCGCACACACAGCAGAGAGCAGGGGGTCGATACTGCTCTGCTGCCAGAGCTCTCCGATGTGCTGTCTGAACGGATCTCCGAGCAGATCTGTGCTTCTTCCGCACGCATGGGTGAGTGAAGCATCCACACGTGACAGAGCAGGGAAAGGCACGGGAGAGCAACACACAGCGGCGAGCAGGAGGCGGACATTGCTTCTGCCGCACGCATGGGTGAGTGGGTGCGGGTCCATGGGCGTTACTCTTTCCACCACCAACGGAACATGAGAGACCAGGAGTTGGAGATTGCTCTGCTCCCTTTCTCTCCTCTCTGATGGGCGTTACCCTTTTCTCTCCTCCTTGTGTCCCTCAACCCCCCACCAGCCGCCAAGCTCAAGGTGGCTGCCATATTCGACCACACCCACCGTGCCTACATGGCATCGCTGCTCTCATTGCCTGACACCTTCCACCTTCCACTCCCTCGCTTACTTCCCTTCCATTACTCTACTCTCTGCTACTCTCCTCTCCCTTTCATCCCCCCACCAGCCGCCAAGCTGAAGGTGGATGCCATATTTGTGTATACCCACCGCGGCTACATGGCATCGCTGCTCTCGCGCTGCCGCCCCGACTGCCCCATCTTCGCCTTCACCTCCTCGCAGGTGCGTGTGTGAGAGAGAGAGAGACCCTTCACCTCCTCGCAGGTGCGTGAATGAGCGTGTGTGAGAGACACCAATCACCTCCTATTGAATCGAGTTGAGGATACCAATTCCTCTTCTCTCTCTTATGCTGTAACCATGTGTTATTGGTTTGTTCCTTTGCAGTCCCACCACCCCTCTTTTCCCCTCCCCTCCTCCCTCCTCCCCCTTGCCATTACCCTTGTGTGCTAACCGTGCCCTCATTCCCTTGGATGTTTTCCTCACTCAATTCTCCTCCTCCTACTCTCGAAATCGCCCTTTCCAACAGGCTGTGCGGAAGCAGCTGAAACTGTTGTGGGGATTTCATGTCTCATGATACTAGTGCGCACCCCTACCCTCCCATAAACCGCCCCCCCCGTTCCTCTGCCCTCCCCGCCCTTTGACACACTCTTCCTCTCTGCCGGCCCTACAGGGAGTGCGGCAGCAGCTGAACCTGTCATGGGGGCTCATTCCTAGACAGGACTTCGCACAACAACCCCTCCCTACACTTCCGCACCCACCCCCTCGTACCCCCACTCTCCCTCCCCTCACCATTGTCTTCCGCTCTGCGTGCCCACAGGGCGTGCGGCAGCAGCTGAACCTGTCGTGGGGGCTCATCCCGTTCCGCCTGGACTTCTCAGACGACATGGAGTCCAACATCCAGCGCACCTTCAACCTGCTCAAGGTATGCACTCTTGCCATAAGAGGAGTGTGTGGGTGAGACACAGTGTGAGTGGGTGATAGACAGAGTGAGTGGGTGATAGACAAAGTGAGTGGGTGATAGATAGAGTGAGTGGGTGATAGACAGAGTGAGTGGGTGATAGACAGAGTGAGTGGGTGATAGACAGAGTGAGTGGGTGATAGACAGAGTGAGTGGGTGATAGACAGAGTGAGTGGGTGATAGACAGAATGAGTGGGTGATAGACAGAGTGAGTGGGTGAGGTAGTCTTGGTCGGAGAGGCACATAGTGAGTAGCTCAGATGACATGGACTCTAACATCCAGCGCACCTTCAACCTGCTCAAGGTATGAGTGAGTGAGTGAGTGAGTGAGTGAGTGAGTGAGTGAGTGGAGTGAGCGATTGGGTCAGATGACACAGACTTTTCAGATGACATGGAGTCCAACATCCAGCGCACCTTCAACCTGCTCAAGGTGTGCGTGGGTGAAGGGAGTGGGTGAGTGGGTCAGCTGGCTCGTATGCTCCAAAGCTGCAGGCATTATCTGCAACTTTTTGCTCTCCAGTCCTTTTCCTCTTCTCGTCGCTATAGTGTAACCGCATGCAGAACCTTGTGACAATGCGTCCACTTGTCGCTACAGTGCTTGCCTCTGCACTACACATGACATGAATCCCCCATGTGGGTGACTCCCCATCCCATCCCATGCGTGCAGGCGCGCGGCATGATGAAGTCGGGAGACCTGGTGATCACAGTCTCAGACATCATTGGCAGCGATACCACTTTCGATGGAGGGCTGCAGTCCATGCATAAAATACCCCATCCCATGTGTGAGACACTCCATCCCATCCCATGTGTGCAGGCACGGGGCATGATGAAGTCGGGAGACCTGGTGATCACAGTCTCAGACATCATTGGCAGCGATACCACCTTTGACGGAGGGCTGCAGTCCATGCAGATCCGCAATGTGCCGTGAACGTAGCGTGCGAGATGCCAGTGGTTGAATGAATCAGTTTTTATGTTGCTAGCTAAAGAAAAAGAGGCTGCATGCAAAAGGCAGCCATGAATGGATGTTTCTACAAGTATTCAGGGGGCTGAGGTGCATGTGATCTTGTGTGTACATGTCGCAAGGTAGCTTATGGGGCCGTAACTTGTGTGATGTCCTAGAACAACTTCCCCCTGATTTAGCAATGTCATCTTACCATCTGAATTCAATGGCAGTTCCGATATGTAGGAGTTTTTTTTTTTTTTTTTTTTCCAACGTTGCATTGGCGCTTTATCAAATCGCTTCATATACATCCTTCCTTACTCCGTGCAATTCTTGTACAAATTCCATTCATCTGAAAGACACCACAACAGGTTTCATTATTGGACACCTTTGTACTGAATTACAAAAGTTGCCTGACACATCTGTTCTACGACATTCGCGGAAGGACCAGTAACGAGTTCTGCTGTCACCTAATGCGTGGCACCACGTGTCAAACTTATCAGTGCGCATCACGACCCCTAAGCCTGACTGAAAGTGACGTGGCTCCTATTGTATTCTCGAAACGGCGCAGGCACCCGCGACGCGCTGACTTCTGCACACGTGCACCGTGAGTGAACCGTAGCCAGTTTGACCGCCACATTCGACAGCGTGGCGGCAACCAACTGCAAGAAATTTCATCGCTGAGTTGTGATGGACCACACTAGATCTCCGGAATATCTCGTGTCGCATCTAGGTCGAGTCTATCCTTTCCCCTGAGTTACCATATCAAACCACCTGTCAATTCCCATCAACATCGGGCAGGCCGTCAGCCTCGATATTGGCTTCCGGTTGGTGGTCCGAGCAGAAGTCCATCTTCATCAACCTTCGGATTGTATCGAGCCGTTGGTTGTTGGGATCTCCAGGTTTCGGGCTGCCCTGCATTGTTGATCAGCGCATCTCTCGACCTCAATTCAGGAACCGAGGGGGTGGGGGGGAGGGGAGGATAGGGGTAATGCGGCGTCCATCCCCCAACGAGGCGGGAGCCTTGGAGGGCATGGGCGAAAGCAGCGGCGACGAAAATAGGAAATTCTGCAACGAAGCAGTGGGCAACACGCGGCGGTTGGTGGCGACAGCTTCGCGTGTTCGCGAAAGCTGAAGAAGCATCGCGCGATCCGCGAAAGTGCTGCTCGATTTCTGGCAGCAGCAGTTTCGTTCAAGGAGGCGCGAGGCCAGACCACCGTCTTGGGTTTGGTTTGGGATTACAGCCGAAGGTTGTTGGGAGGGAGTCAAGAGTGAGGAAGCTGAAGAAGCATTGTTCTTTGGAAAACCTGGGAGTTCAAAAGCAGAGAAAGCACAATCTAGTTAGCAAGCATTCTTTGCAAGCATCCAGTTACATCTATCCCTCGCTCCGTGTCGCTCGCTTCGCATCTACTTACGCTCCCTTAGCCAGATTCTTTGTCGCTTAGACAATTTGGACGCCGACCCCGACGCCGAGCTCTAGACTCTGAGATTCTTAGCGACTATGGCTAGTCCCGCCTCCAAGATTGTTGCGAGCATAACCGGAGCTGCTGCCGGACTGCTGGCCTCGTATGGCTATCAAGGTTCCAATCAGGTAAATACTCGCTAGACTCTTGTCGTCGTGTCTTATCCCGAAAGCCGTTTTTCCCGCTCTTCGCTCCGTCGATCCTTTTTAACACATGTTTTCTCGTGACTGACTTATTAAAGCCTCGCCATTATATTTTGTTTGCAGACCAAAGTCTCCAATTGCCAAGCCATAGCGACGACCGCCGACGCCGCTCCATCGTCGGCCTCGCAGAAGCCTCAGAAGCCGGTGGCTCCTATCCGCTGCGCCATCGAGCTTGACGGACTCGAGCTCTTCGAGACCCTCGCTCGGTGACCGGAGACTCGTTTTCCTCGTCACAACGTGTCGGGAACGCATGGTTTCTGTGAACTACATGTCTTTTTGAAGAACCACAACCGGGAAGGGGACGACAGTGAGCCGGGGTGTTTTTGAGGAGTCGTAGAGAAGCTGTCGTGGGATCGCGAAGAATTCAATCGCTTTAGGCTGCTGCAAGTCTGGGGGGCGAAGACGGCGGGGGATATTTGAAGGCCTGGGCAGAACAAAAGAACAGTTGGTGGTTAGCGGCGATTTTTGTAGCTACTAAAGAAGATCGCTCTATACACGACGTGTCGCACTCGTCATTATTAGGACCTGGTCATGCTTCCTCAGTGGCCCTGGTCTTCAATTTTGTAGCTAGGTTCCTCCACCTGTCTTTTCACAAGTACATATCCCCCTTCATTATTATCAGTATTATTGGTGAATTTCCTTTCCAGAATTACCTTGTATTCCATCTTCGAGGTGAGAGTTTTGATTGGTAAAGGAATTGAATAATTGAAAATAATAATGAAGATAATTGAAATATCATTTCCAGATTATCACAATCAATCAGTTACTCCCCTTCATACTCTACGAGTACATAAAGCGGCTTTGATCCTAGCTTCTCACGTCCCTGAAACCCAAAGCAACGGGGGAGGCAATAAAAGCTATGCTTAGATGATACAGAACAGTAACACAGATGACATGACCAACAAGGGCCAGGCCAAGAGAATACAACCGTACCTTCAAATCAGGAAGCTCAATGACGCAAGCACACTCCTCCACTTGTGCCCCAGCACGCTCTGTGTATCCAAAGTACGTGGACAAAGGGGAGTGCAAAGGGGAGAGAGAAGGAGCGAGTGGGCAACAGGGAGAGAGAGGGAGCGAGTGGGCAACGTTGAAGAAGAGAACAGGAGTCACAGGAGAGGGGGAGGACGGAGGAAAACGGGAGCAGGAAAAGTTGACGAATTGAGTAGGGTGAGGAGAACTAAGCACAAAGATGTTGAGGGGAGGGTTGCAACATCAGTCAACTTGGCCAAGCGAAGGCATGACCCCAATCCTATTTGACAAATAGTTGCCAGCACCACAGAGTACCTATCAAGCGGATGCCAGCGCCGAGCGTCCCTCCTGTGGCCACGAGATCGTCCACCAGCAGCACCTTGTCCTCCGGCCCCACAGCCCCCAGATGCATCTCTATCTTATCCGTTCCGTACTCCAACGTATACTCCTCGCTGATCGTCGCGCCTGATTGGTGGAAAAAAAATCAGGGTTTCGGGTTTACACAGAGGAGTATTGCAGATTTATCTTTGCGTACTCATTTTTCAAGGACCTGATTGAAGAAAATGAACAGGAACGAGACTCGACAAGAATAAGAGAAACGGTGGAGCCAATGGCTATCGGTTCGAGTAAATGAGTGGATGAGTGGATGAATGTGAGACATGAGCCCAGCCAGGCTCGGACATACTGTGTAGACTTAACCCTACAGGTTGATTCATTTCTACTGATTGTCGGAGATTTCAGTGGCTCAGTTGGTTTTCGTCAGGGTCCCTGACCAATGACTGGACGACAACTATGCTGCTGACCTGGAAGCTTCCGTGGTTTTCGTATGCAGACGAACTTGGCGCCGATGGCGAGAGCAATGGGCGGGCCGAAGATGAAACCCCGTGCTTCGATTCCTGGTGCATAATTCAGCAAGATCCGAGGGTTCATAAAATCCAGGCTTTAAGGGATAAGGCAGGGAGGGCGACTTCGACTCTCATAAATGAGTGGGAATAGAGGGATCGCAGCAAGACGAAACCAATCCGCTTTAGTAAAGCCTAGAAGCTATAAGAGGAATAAGTGAACTGTCAAAATCATAACTGTAAAAAACGAAGCTGTCATACGCGAAGCTGTACTAATACGCGGCGTACCAGCGACGGCGGTGTAGCCCTTGCCCTTGTAGCGCTCGACGAACATGTCGATGGAGTCCTGGAACGCCTTGGGCTCCAGCAGCAGCGTCGTCACGTCGCGAAACATGATGCCTGAAACGAACGTCAATGTCACGCAGTTTAGTGCTCCCTTAAAACACTGTCTTGGCAAGAACAGCGTCACGACACAACATCACGGAACAGAATAAGTGCATCTAAGGAAGGACAATTATTACGAACCACAAGCTACATTGTAGAATCGTTAAAATACTCGCACTGGGGAAGAGCGTGAATCGCGGAGGCGCTCACCCTTCTTAGGCCAGTCAGGGATGGCTCGGATGGACTTTTTAAGCCCTTCCACGCGGCTATCTCCATCCTTGTCGGCCGACATTGTCGTTCGTGGATGAGTAAAAGCTGGTCGGTAAGAGAACGGCGCTAGCTTTGGCAGCAGAAGGGAGCCCGGGTGGACGCGTGAAAGGGACGACCTCACGAGCCCGAGCATGAAATGCTTCTAAACAAAGCTCGATCTGAAGAACTGCGGAGTCAGGAACTGTAAAATAGGCATTGGCTTGTGGATTCTGGTGACTTCATTCCTCGATCAGCAGCTGTAGTCTGCTGGGGGGCGCGGTTTTCATTGGTTTACGATTGATTTTCATTGATGGTTAATTCTGGTGCGCAATGGTCTAAAGCGGTGAAATTCACACCGCTCCTAAACGTGGTTGACCGTCTTAGACCGTGACAAACGAGCCCGGATATGACCCGAAAATGAGAACCGTCACGCAACGCATTCAGATGCGCTAAACGCCTTGTCAACACCACCAAAGCAACAATCTGCTGCACTTTCTAGGTTCTGTTTTCTGGAATTGCAAACCCGCTGTTCGCACGGGCATTTTGAAGTAATACACCCCCATACCGTATAATTTGTAGAATAAACGGGTCAGCTGAGTACAAATTCCATAATCTTACCAGCTAGAATACCATTTTTTCCCCGCTGCAAAATATACACACCGCAGAGATTTCTGAAACACGGATTAAAGGGCAACCTTGCAACATCAGGAAAATGAAGGGCGCAAAATGTGGGGTTTATCGGCTAAGAAAACGCCCTGGGGTAGGCTTGATCTCCCAGGAAGGAAGTAATGGGAGGGAACCAATCGGTGTGCACGTCGGAGTCGGGTAGGCTGAAGAGGATTTGAGCAAGTGGACCTCCCGTGTTGTGGCATCGTAATAATCGACCACATATTATGAACGAATGAAAACGATGCGCGTGTGCTGACCTGACATTAGCTCTTGTTTGACACGCTCTGAAGGTGATATCGAGTAATTTCTACATAGCGAACATGTTTTACTTTTTTATTCATATGCTGATGTACTTTGTTTGCTACCTCCATTTGTGAGCAAATGAAACGCAGTTTATCCAACGCGCCAATCGACTGCCAAAAAATGTGAGCAAATGAAAAGCAGAGCCTCCCTCCCAACGTGTTTCCAAGTTTCCGCCACTCGCAGAGCCTCGCAGCATTCTTACCTTGTCCCTAGTAGCTGAAAACAGCCATCAGAGTTAGGTTAATCGATTAAAATGGACGGAATGTTTGCTCCTGCTTCCGTCGGTCCCGCTGCTGCATCCTCTCCAATGCACGCATTTATCCAACGCGCCAATCGACTTCTTACACGTGTCGAGAGCTTGCCTCCTACCAAGCTCAGCGCAGAGTGCCGCCGTCGCCTCGTTAAGCTCATCGGTCGCGAGCGCCAGTTCCTGTCCTCGATATTGGCTCACTCGAATTCCGCTACAGGCCCTCCGGAGCAGCCAGCACTGCAGAAGGCGCAGCGAGGTTCAGGATGGGTGGCGAAGGCTCCAAAGGCAGGTGATTATAACGGATATTAGGTGATGGCGGTGGTGGCGACAATATGCAAGAATAAAACGCATCCAGTAATCACGTATTTCTCCTATTTCTCTGTCTCCTCCCATCCCCTTCTATTCTCTCATTCTACTCTCTCTTCCCACTGATCCAATTTCCCCCTCTTTGCCAACAGTTCCAACCTCCCCCACATGGAGACGATCGTTGCCGCCCTATGCCACCCGCTGGTCACTCAAACGTCTGCCGCCATGACACACTTCCCCACTGCCTCTGCCGGGGCCAATCAGAATCCGACACATCAGCACCCAGCCAACTCTGATCCAGCGATCAAGCCTGATCCAACGGTTCACATCGACCCAGCAGTGCACGTGGATCTCGTGTGTCTATTCGATGGCCTGCCCACGTGGCTGCTGGCAACGGCTCGCAATCCCAACCGGATAGCTTATCACGACGCAGCACCAGCTTCAACCACATGGGAGGGAAGCACTCACTGTAAGACCAAGATTCAACGAATCTGACCTAAAAGCATTGTCCACCCCCTATTTAACCACCCCTCCCCCCCCATTCTGCACCCCATTCGTTCCCCCCATCCTTCCCCCCATTCTACCCTGCATTCTCCTCCCCATCATTTCCTCTCCCCTCTCCCCCCCCCTCCTCCTCCCTTCCCAGTTCCCCCTGCCCTCCGCTCATCGGATCGCGGCATTCGGCGGCGCATTCTCTCGGCCCAATCAGCAGCTGCCACGTGTCCCCCTGCAGCCAGGCCAGAGGCCGTGGTGGTGGTGTTTGGCAGAGGCGTGAGGGGGAGTGTGGGGGCGATGGTGGTGAGGGACATGGGGGGAGAGAGAGTGGTGGAGAGTGCTATGGCTGGTGATTGGGTGATGGGGAGGGACATGGGGGGAGAGAGAGTGGTGAAGGGGGAGGAGAGTGTGAGGGAGAGTGTGAGGGAGAGTGGAGGGGATGCTGTTGGAAGAGAGAGAGTCGTCAGTATGGTTTGTGGGGAGATGGGAGTTGAAGGAGTGGGGATGATGGAAGAGGGAAACATGATGGGAAGATCAGGCACGATGGGTGGGTCAGGAGATGCAATGGTGGAAGATGAGGAAAGGAGTATGGAAAGGGAGGAGGATGAGATGGCAGACAGTTGGGAAGAGGAAGATGAGGAGGAGGAGGGTGATGGTGGTGATGCTGATGACTTTCGTATGCTGGTTAGTTCAGAGGGGCGAATGAGATGGCGGGAGAGAGGAGGAGAAGGAGGAGTAGGAGGAAAGGAATGGTCGGGGAGTGCGAGCATGCAGTTTGATGGGGATGCGGGTACCTCACACGCTGCTGACCTGGCGCGTGGTGTATGGTTCCGTATTTCCACGCGTGCGCTGCCAGCACACGTGGCCAGGCTGCTGGGCTGTTTGCCCTCTCAACCGTCCAATCAGCTGTCTGCTCGTGCTGGTGTGGCAGAGGACGCATGTGGCAGTGCAGCTCCACATGCACACCCACCTGACAAAACACCTGAGGAAGCACCTGAGGAAACACCTGAGGAAGATGGTGTGATTGGTTCGAAGGGGGCAGCTGGAGTGCTGAACCTAGACGTGACAGCAGCGGTGGCTCTGGTATCAGAGCTTTCCCATGGGGGCGCACAGCGGATAGCAGGCTTGGCAGAACCGGACCTGCGGGCGAGGTTTGGAAATACGTGGCAGTTTATGAGAGATCAGGTTGGTGGGTGATGGTGGGTGGGGGGGGTGGAAGGGGGGATGGGAGTGAGGCAAGGCAAGTGGGGATGGGTTTGGAGAGTGTGTTTGGTGTTGAGAGGGGTTAGTAAGGGGTTATGAGGGGTTGCGAGGGGTTGAGAGGCAGCCGTGGTGAGATTCATCTATAAGGCAACTCACCAACTCTATCTAGTAGCTTCGCTCTGCACTGGTGTGCTCCTGTGTGCATACATACATGATCCATCTCATGAAAAGCTCATGCATAATAATTATTTTGTATGAAATTCATGTATGAGCATGGCAGGGGGCTTGGCCTATCATGAATGAGGGTCTCTCATGCGTGCTTCACCCATGAACCTCTCTTCATCCATCAAGAAGCCTCTCACGCTTACAAGCTTCACGCCTGGCTTGGCTTGGATTGGCTTGGATTGGCTTGGATTGGCTCGGCTGATCGTGCATGGCCTCTCATTTTTGCTTCTTCCCTAATGCTCTTCAACAATTTAATGTCTCCATCTCACAAGTTACAGTCGCGAAGTAACGTTCTTTCCAACCATTCCCTCTACCCACCATGTCCCCACCCATTCACCAATTGTCAGGCACAAGCAGAAATGGCCCAACCTCAGCTGCAGCTTTTGCAGGAATCGCTTTCTAAGGACTTGATCATGTGTAAAACGGCTTATAAAGAGTTCTCTTCTATCGTGGATGTCATTGCTGGACCCAGGGAAAAGCAGCGGGCTGCTGCTCTGCTCTCTGCTCATGTCAGGTATGCAAGGCTGGTGATCAGGGCAGGCGGCAGGCCGCAGGGTGATGAGCACTGACCATGTGGTAACACAGTAACCAAACACAGCTGGTAGATCACAATCCACTATCACATATAATGACTATGATTGATCAATACCAACCTTGTATGAAAGATTCCTGTATCCTACGTCATTCACTTTTATCCCGCATTGCTCTTAATTACCCCAAATTTTTCAGCTAACCTGATTTTCTCTCATCTTACCCGCAACGCAGAGTGGTGCCGGATCAGCCCTCGGGGCGACTCCTCTCTCTGCCCTCCACTGCACGAATCAAGCAGCGCCACGTCATCATCTTCGGGACGGCCGACAGCTGGAGCTGCGCAACACTCTCTACCAGCTCTGCATTTGTTCGGGCGGCACGCCATGCTGGCGCATTGGTGAGGGTGGTGGAGCACCGTCCATGTGCGTTGATGGGGGAGTGAGTGAACGGCCGAGACTGAAATATGAAGAGGATAATGTAGCAGCGGGATTAACTGGACCTTTAAAATGAGTGCGTGCGTACCACATGTCAACATGTCTGGTGGTGATACTTGTTGGAAACAACTGATTTAGGCGCCTCTGTCGTGTCGAAACACCAAGACAGAAGCGAAGTAGCTCGTATCGAAATATCGGTGAGTCAACCCTCGGAGGTTGAATAACTGTTGGAGGTTACGCGAAAGTCAAAGGTCAGCGACCTTTGACCTGACAAATGCAGCGCGACAGCAAGGACAACCAACTGTCTCGATACTGAGCAGTTGCCCGAGTCGACACTGTATCGAACCGCAACAGCAACAGTAAAACAATTAACTGTATCTCTTCATATTCCTTTGTATTCTTATAAAAGCTTGTATCTCTTTTATTATCATCAACTTACTTTGCCCTCACATACTAGTGCAAGCTGGACCTACGAAGCGGTTACCATCAAGTGCGTGTCGCTGACGAAGACATCGAGAAAACCGCCTTTCGAACACGGTATGGGCATTTCGAGTTTCTCGTGCTTCCTTTCGGACTAACGAATGCCCCTGCCACCTTCATGTCCTTGATGCACAGTGTCTTTCGGGATTTCTTGGACCGGTTTGTCATCATCTTCATCGATGACATTCTGATTTATAGCAAATCCTTGAAGGAACACGTCGAGCATCTAAGGCAAGTCTTCACACGGCTTTGTGAGCATCGTCTCTTCGCCAAACAGAGCAAGTGTGAGTTTGCCAAGCCCTCGATTCCTTTCTTGGGCCACATCATCTCACACAACCAGCTTGCTATGGACCCTTCCAAAGTCAATGCCATCAGGGAATGGAAGGAGCCAACCTCTATCAAGGAAGTGCAAGCCTTCCTTGGTCTTGCCAACTACTACCGCAAGTTCATTCGACACTTTGCTGCCATCACCTCTCCCCTATCCAACCTTCTTCGCAAAACTGAACCATTCCATTGGGACTCTGACCAGCAAACTGCCTTCAATGCTCTCAAGTGTGCACTAACCTCTTCTCCTACTCTAGCCCTACCCAACCCCTCCCTACCCTACGTGATATGGACAGATGCGTCTCAGGTTGCAACGGGTGCAATTCTCTGTCAAGATCAAGGGCATGGCCTTCAGCCTATCGCCTTCGAGTCCCGGAAACTGAAACCTGCCGAGTGCAACTATGCTACTCACGATCGCGAGGCGCTGGCCATCGTCCATGCAATCAAGAAGTGGCGCTGCTATGTTCACATGCAGCCCGTCACTGTTCTTACCGATCACTGCACCCTGCAATACCTGAAGACGCAGCCCCATCTCACCCCGAGGCAGGCCCGATGGATGGAGTACCTGGAACAGTACGTACCGGAGCTGAAAATCGAGTACCGCGCTGGCCGCCTCAACCCTGCTGATTCCTTGACCCGGCCTCCTCAACCTCAGCTCACCACCATCGGAAGCGTCACATGGGACGAAAGTTTCATCAAGAAGTTCACCAAAGGGTATCGTCGTGACCGTTTCTATCTCTACTCTGCTGCTGATGATAAATCTGTCTTCTACGAATCCCCCTTTTGGTATAAGGCAGATTCCCAAGTCATCTGCGTCCCCGCAGAGCGCAAGCTTCGTCACCTCCTGCTACGCGAGCATCATGACCAGAATGGGCACTTCGGAGTGGACAAAACGCTTGCTGCCATCTCTTCCAACTTCTTCTGGCCCAAGCTCTCTCGAGATGTCCGATCCTACGTACGCAGCTGCCACACATGCCAGTGCAACAAAGCTCGCAACGCTGCACCCTACGGCCTCCTACACCCTCTGGAAATCCCTCAGCTCCCATGGACTCATGTGACACTCGACTTTATCACAGATCTGCCTCGCACCTCCTCCCATCACAACGCCATCCTCACCGTCGTGGACAAGCTGAGCAAGATGGCACACTTCCTCCCTACCTCCACCACCGCTACTGCTGAGAACGTCGCTGATCTCTTCTTCAACGAGGTGGTACGTCTCCATGGCATTCCTTCCGTACTAATCAGTGACCGTGATTCTCGGTTTGTTGGCAGATTTTGGCAGTCCCTTTTCAACAGATTGGGCACCAAGATTCGTCTCTCCACTGCCTACCATCCTCAGTCCCATGGGCAGACCGAGAGGATGAATCGAACCCTTGAAGATGCCCTGCGTGCATGCGTGAGTGCACGGCAAAACGATTGGGACCAGCACCTGCCATCGATCGAATTCTCCTACAACAACACGGTGAACCTCGCCACGGGACAAACCCCTTTCTTCCTCGCTACAGGGCAGCAGCCCCGCACACCAGCTTCTCTCGTACGCAGCAGTGACACCAAACCAGCAGCCGACTTCCTCTCTACTCGGGAAAAAACCATTGCAGCAGCACGCGCTTCCTTGCTCAAATCCCAACACCGAATGATCCGGTACGCCGATCAACACCGTCGTGACATTCAGTTCCACGTAGGTGACCAAGTCCTTCTCTCCACCACAAACCTTCCCTTGCTGCAGAAAGGTCTCACTCGTAAGCTTGCACCTCGTTTCATCGGCCCCTTCACCATCACCCAAGTTCTCTCTCCTCTCACCTACCGTTTGAAACTTCCACCACACATCAACATACACCCTGTTTTTCACGTTCAGCTCCTACGTCCTTACCACATTCCTCCAGCCCACTTTCCCCTCTTACCTCTGCCTCCTCGGCCTCCTATGTTCACATCTAACCCTGATCTCTTTGAAGTTGAGAAAATTCTGTCCCATGAAACCTCTCCTCGCGGCACTTACTTCCTTGTTAAGTGGCGTGGGAAAGACTCCTCTCACAACCTCTGGATACCCGAGACAAGCCTTCAGAATGCCCAGAGAGTCCTTCAGAGCTACCTTGCATCTGCTCAAGCACCGAGGACGGTGCTTGCTGGAGAGGGGAGTAATGTAACAAGACGAAGGCGATCTCGTCATCCTCGATTTCGCCAACTCAGCTCCTTGTGATCCGAACCAGAATTCGGAACACACCCTAAGTACATTTCGGGAATTCAATGTTGGAATCCAACATTGAATTGTGCGGCTCGTAATTCTGAGTTTCCAACCGTGGGAACAACTCCAGAGAGCATACTACTAGTGCTGGACACAACTGGGCAGAGAACTCCAACAGCGCAGCAAAGTATTTGACAGCACAAGCAAGCATACTTTCCTACAGCCATGGCTACTTCCAACAGAGCTCGTGGTCATCATTATCAACGACACCATGGACGACAACAAGACAAATAATCTCTGCCCATTACCTTAGTGAATTCCTAGGCTATGCTTATTGGTTCTAGGATATGACAACAAGGCTAGTATGTCTTGTACATAATCATAATGACTATGCCTTGCTGTCCTTAGCTCTAGAAAGATGATAGGCGACCTGAGCGACCTGCTCGAGGCGCCCTTGCTAGTATCCTAGTATATTAGGATATATCTCTGAAATGTAAGCCATCATATGATCTCTTGTAAAGCTATCTTGCTACTATCTTTCTGAAATTCCCCTAAGAGCACTTCCTAGTACTACTACTCTGCCAAAACAGCTTAGTGGCTGTTTCACCCCTGCAAAGATCCTAAAGGGTTTTTTCAGCCTAACATGGTATGAGAGCTATCAGGGGGAATTCAACTTCTATACCGACAACATCAACAAGCATGGCTACACAAAAGGAAAGGAGCAACTCCAACGGCTCCCAGGGCACTACTCCTACTCCACCTCCTGCCTCTGGCCTACAGACAGAGGAGGGCACAGCAACAAGACCCAGAGCAACATCTACCGAGACTCCCGCGAATCAACCTGCAGACTTCGACCAGAGCATGATGGAGAAGTTTTTCTCCTTCATGTCCTTCTACGAGCAACACCAACAATCGGCACCTGCGCAGTCACACAACAGCAACAACAACGGAGCAACACCCATGAGTCTCGACGGCTCATCATATGCACGAGGAAATCAACAACAGCAGCCTACCTTTGCTCCGTACGAGCGCGGGTCCATCAGCTTTATGCCACACCCACAGCCTTCACCTGGACAAGAAAAATCACTGGACGCATTACAAGTTCAGTCGCAGTTCGCACACGTTCTGAAGATGCAGACGTCAAGACCTTTCGATGGAAAGGACTTCTTCACCTGGTCATTCGAGTTCGAGCTGATGATGGAAGGCGCGCAGATACTCGGGTTCTTCGACGGGTCTTTGCCATACCCAACAAACGGCACACAGTACGAGAAGCAGCAGTATACCTATCAGTCAATGATGGCGTACACGATCCTACTGAGGAATATCACCCCGACTCAACAGCAGAACATAAGGTCTTACCGAGGTTACGGCAACTCCGCGGAGCTCGCGTACAACCACCTGAAAAGCCTGTATCAAGCAACAGACAGCGTAAGCCAAAGTCGGTTAATGGCGCAACTGACAACGGTTGAAATGAAACCAGGGGAGAAAGGAATGGCGTATATCAGTCGATGTCGCGAGTTGCGCGACAAGCTTCTTCGATGCGGAGGGTCGATCTCTGAAGAC